TTTTTTTTTCACCACGGAACAGTCTCCGAACACAGACACCTCCTTCTGTACGTTTAATGTGCATCGCTTCGCCCTTCAAAACAAAAGCAACGAAAATAAATTAGGATGTCAAGAATCAGTACACTAATGGGTAGTTTTATTAAAAACGTTGTAAAGGTTGGCAGAAATACTACAAGAGGTCATAATTAACATGTCTTTCATCTCCACAAAACCTATCCGTGAATGTGCAGATTCTTTCCCTCATAGGTGCTGTCATTTTTTTAAAACCCATGCACGATTGCATCCTGCCAAGTAAGGCTAACTACAAAGGTGTAGCGGAAGAGTAAAAAGCGACGTTTCTTGAAAAATATGTTTCGCTTCTGTTGCGAGTAAACCTCGATCCCAATAAATTAAGATTAAAAAAAAATGAAAACCGACTGACAACTCACCACCGTGACAGGCGAAACCATTTCTGATGCGCTCTCTATACAGCCGATTTAAAAAACTCGACTTTCAAAAAATATAAGAGGGTCACCACTGTAACGCTTTGTTAGAAATAATATATGAGTCTTTTTGTACTGGGGATTTTTGTCTTTTTTTAGAACGGGGTGACATCACAGTAGGCGGAGACAATGCTGCCGTAATCTGGGCTAGACTTTAGATTCCGAAAACACAGCCCGGGGGCGGGGTTTCAACAGACGACCAATAGGCGTCTGGATATTCTTTAAAGGGCGTGCCTTTATATCATGTAACGCCCACTTGTGGGAGGAGTCAGCGCGCTGCGGCCGGTGTTAAGCCTAAGAATATGGGAAGCAAAGCACGTGAGGTTTGTTTTGTCGCTCGGCAGGTGAACGGATAATGGCGATCTGTATGTTGTGCGTTTTAAATAACAGAATCGACCCATTAGTATTGCATTGGAGGGCAAAAGGTTAAGTTTCTCCAAGCTGGATTTCGTGCCGCTTTGTTTTTTTATTAATTCACTAATTCCGCTGTCACGTTTCAGATCAGTCTAAAGGAGCATGCACTAGGATTTGAGATGTCAAAAAACATCCAACTTTCGCCTGCTGCACAAGTTGTACAATCATTTTATTTAAAAGTAAATTCATAAAATATTTCAGTTAAGTACCAAGATTTCAGTTTGCTATATAGGGATTTAATCGCAGGAAACTGATTTAGATCCAGTGTGAGATGAAGGACGCCTGAAGAATTCGGTTTAATAAGAATATATATTTTTTTTTAAATGAGAACCCCGTTATAATGATTCTAGAACAGGGATTCAGATTCAGTTGTTCACGTTGTTTCTATAAATGTCTTGTCCTCGCCATTGCATGTCTTTTATTCAAATGTTCACTGCTCTTGTTTTTCAAGATAAATTAATTTAAAATCTGCTACCCCTTCGGCGCAATTGTTCGGTGAACAGCTGTCTGAGATCATGTTCACCAGCTCAGAATTCAGCCTCTACAACGACCGCGTTGACTCTACACCGGTAACAGTATCTCTTCGCCTCTACAGACGGCAGCTGCTGTAATGACACCTGGCTCATGAATATAAAATCAGTCCTTTAATTTTAGTTTATATTTTATAGATAATAACAAGGATTGAAAATAAAGCCGTCGAAGTAATGAAAGCGTTTACTGCTTTACGAGATGGGACTTTTAAAAGGCGTTTTATTTTGCTGCAGTAAAACGCCGGTCAATTATTAACACGAGCTTCGACGTAGGTAAAACAATTGTTGGTGATAAGACTGATGGTGGTGTCTTTAAAGAATAAAACAGAAAACTAAAACATGCATTCCCAAGTAGAATAACACAATGTAGGGATACAATGTGTCACAGTGAAGTGCAGTGAAGGTTTGAGATTAGTTTAATTTGTGTGAAAACGGACATTTTCGGAGAACAATGGGAGGAGACGCACACGGGTTGTATTTCCAGCAGTGCGCCGAGTGACAGCAGTGTTTCAGAGGCTTTTATAATAATAAAAACTCCTTACACTTTCTGGACTCTCCACTCAAAGCGCTTTACAGGTAATGGGGACTCCCCTCCACCACCACCAGTGTGCAGCCCCACCTGGATCATGCGACGGCAGCCATAGTGCGCCAGAACGCTCACCACACACTAGCTCTCAGTGGGGAGGAGAGCAGAGTGATGTAGCCAATTCATAGATTGGCTTCATTGATAGATCAATTTTTAAAGTCTGTGTCCGGCTATGGTCACCCTATGTAATTACAATGAATAGAGGTGACCGTTCCACTTATAATAATCATTCTATTTTATGGACACTCCACTCAAAGTGCCCTTCGCCGCCTGCAATGTGCAGCCCCACCTGGATGATGCGAAGGCAGCCACAGTGCGTCAGTACGCTCACCACACATCAGCTCTCAGTGGGGAGGAGAGCATAGTGATGAAGCCAGTTCAGAGATTGGGATTATTAGGAGGCTATGATTGGTAAGGCCCAATGGGAAATTTGGCCAGGACGCCGGGGTAACACCCCTACTCTTTTGGAGAACCTGGGATTTTTAATGACCACAGAGAGTCAGGACTTCGGTTTCTCATCCGAAGGACGGCGCCTTTTATAGTGTCCCCGTTACTTTACTGGGGCATTAGGACCCACACAGGCCGCGGGGTGAGTGCCCCTGCTGGCCCCACTAACACCTCTTCCAGCAGCAGCTTTAGCTTTCCCAGGAGTCTCCCATCCAGGTACTGACCAGGCTCGCACTGCTGAGCTCCAGGGGGTTGCCAGTTGTGAGCTGCAGGGTGAGATGGCTGTTGGCAATTTATAGCTCATTGGCAATTCCTGATGATGTTGTCCCCACCTTTCAGCAATTCCTGGGATGGCGTACAACAGCAGGTGTTGTTTAAAATCCACTCAAACCAGGTCGGGAGTAATGACCCCAAGCCAGTCAGATTTCTACGCCAAAATCTAGACAAGTGATTTCGAGCACCCATTTGCTGTCTGCTCTGATGGCGACATCTGGTGGATAAACGATATCATAGCAATTAATATATGCATGATATAATAATAATAATAATAATAATAATAATAATAATAAATGCTTGCACTTATATAGCGCTTTCTGGACACTCCACTCAAAGCGCTTTACAGGTAATGGGGATCCCCTCCACCACCACCAGTGTGCAGCCCCACCGGGATATGCTACAAGACCTCTATTGAAATTATGTCAGTTGCGTCTGATCAACATTATGGAAAAAAATCGTGCTTAAAAACTCCATGGATCTTTTAGCATCGCTGCTATTGTAGTAGCACCACACCACGTAGTAACACCGGGAACAGAGGACGTGGCATGAAAAGTTTTTTTTTTTAGCAAAACACATTCGACAGATTTAAATCCAATGACGAAAGGCTGGACACCTGTTAAACACTGAAAGGTGTCCAAGGGTGTCTCACCCAGAAAACGCAGAAACGGAGTTCAGGGAAGTAAAAAGGCCCAACTTTATACTGTGAGATCCTACATCAACAGGACAGGTCCGATGTGCGATTATGCTATGTAAAATGTAATAAACTGCATAGATCCGTATCAGTAATATATATATATAGCTACCGGCATTCAAACGCATAGTATAGACCCAATTGCATATTTTATTGACCTGAAGAAGGCTCCACGACCGAAACGTTGTGTTTTCTGCTTTTTTTCAGCATGGAATAAACCTATTACTTATCTTTTTGTTGACTATTTTATGCGACACAACAGGAAACCCCACAGTAACCCAAGATGTTGGGACACTTGTTTTTTCCAGAATATGCACGAAACGCCACGTAACTAATTTTCTGAGTCTGGGAATACAAGAAATCCCAAAATTTCTCGTAGCTACACCGTCACCACGCAGCTACACCACCACAGAGCTCCACGCCAGGGACAGATAAACTACGGGCGGAAGTGGCGTCATAAGGCGTTGACGTAGAGAATCCACAGGGCAGGAGTAGGCTCGTCGAATTCTCTCGTATTTTATTCCGATGTCTGATGCAAGTGTTTTATGTTACTAAACAATTCACGATTTAAACTTCCCTTCGGGCGTTCAGGCTGCTGCCTCCTTGCTCTCCGTGTTGCGGCCGGTTTGGAGTGTTGTTACCTCGCTCGGCTGCGGCTTTCGGTGCTGTTTTCGGGTCGAGTCAGCACTCCGTTGCTGGGGGATTGAGAGGTGTCTTTCATTCTGGGTGTCTGGGGGGGATTTACTGAGGGAGATCACACTGTGGTGTTACCGCTGCTGAGCGAAACGGGAGCCGAAAAGCATCACCATGGACTTCGAAAACATACTGTCTATTGCCTCTCAAAATCAGGGACTCAGCAGCGTGCAGGTAAGCGACAACTTTTTTTAAAATCGTCTGAACCTTAAAACTTATCAAATGTATCCATACGGCGAAGTATGCTACCCATAGTGGTCATCCAAAACAAAATTCTAAAGACAAGATTTTTTTATTGCATTTAGTATAGTTTTGTACATTTTTGTGGTCTGGGGATATGGCGAGCATGAACTTATAAAACACTCGGTTTTAAAACCCGTAATACACGCCATCTGTTATTTCAGCCCACTTCATCTTTCTGCTTCCGGTTTCCGTGCCCACTTCCGCCGACGTGATTTAAACCGCTGTTCCGGCGTGCTGCTCGTGTGGCTCCTGTACCCTTTCTGTAAAATCATCCCCAAGTTAATATCGATTGTTTGTATGTTCGCGCTTCAGTTTCCCCATTCACGCTTCGTTCAGGCGCAGTTCGAGAGTGCTGGAAACGCTGCGTTAGAGAATGTGGTTCTCTTCCGACCAAGTTAGAAGACAAGTTTTTCTGTGAATATTATGTAACCCTCTTGTCGTAAATGTTGCAGGCTGCCTGGCATTGGTTGGTGTTAACTCCCAATTATGGGTTCTTTTAAAAATGTTAACTGTGAGGGAATCATTGTACTGATTTTTTTCTTCATTGAGCATCAGTTTAGTACTCCAGTGCACTGAGACATAACAATTCTCAGTGTTTTGAGGAGTTACGAGGCAAAGATAGTATTGGAAATTTCTTTAAACAAGCACACACTATTGTATCAGGGCCTGCACTCATAATTTGGGGGTTATTCAACCAAATAAACACCCGAAGTATTGTTGTTGAATAGGTAATACTAAATACTTAAATGTAGGCCTGTTTTTGTAGTCAGTGTAAGATACGTTTTTAATCTTTTCTATTGCAGGATGTCAGGGTTGCTTTCCCACACACATTTTATGTCTGCTTTTTTATTTTTCTTAAAATCAAAGCTCTTATTTTTAGTTTCCCCTGGTAGCTTTAGTGGATCTTTACCAATAATGCCCCCAGAAGGGAATCTAGTTCCATGGCCAATTTTACCTATAATAATGCCAATTCCAATTGTGCTTATGTAATTATATATATTCTCTATCATTTAAATCGCTTTAGTGGACGAGGATATGCAGAACAGAGGTTTTAATACATGACCACACAGACATTTAAAAGCGTACAAACACTCTAGTACAAGCTTCTCAAAAAAAGATATAGTACGTCATATTATACATTGCATCGTTACTTCAAAGATTGTTTGCAGCTCAATAATGAGCAAGAAATTAAGAATGAAAATCTAGAATTTGTTTACAAAAATCTCCAACTCCTCAACTGATGCATTGCATTTAGAACATGTTAGTTACTTTTAAATGAATTACCCAATTATTGCAGTCCCATTGTTTTAGTACAACAGCTTTTTAAAGTATTTTGGACAGATCTAGTTTTGGCCCTTAGTGAGACTGAGGAAAGATGGCTCAATGGGAACCTTGAATAACGTATCTGCAAAGAATATGAGTAAAACACTGCCCTCTGACCATCACATTCCTGAGGGTAGGATGATTGCTGCTTGTGCTGCGGAGTCGGAAATAGCAGTCTAAACAACACAAGTTTGCACACATCTAACGCCCTTTGGAAATGGAAATGCATCAGGTCTCTCACTACTGATACACTTGAACAGTTGGCATTTATTTTCTTCATTCAAAATAATATTTATTTCCTTTCCCTACAAACATCATGGTGAAAATGAAGATTTTTCTTGACTACAAAAGCTCAGATAAACAGAACTGCCAAATTGTCAGCATCATTTGTACTGAAATCGTGTGATGGACCTGTAGCCTTTTAGCAGTTTCAAAGGAGGCACAGCAGCAGGTGTTCAATTGAGGGCTGCGAACAACTGTTGAAGTAGAAACAAAGAAACAGAACTGCACCCCCAGCTCTCTCACAAACCTACAGTAATGAAATGACTGTACCTCACTGCTGCATGTCTTGAGCACAGTGGTAGGGCTGCACCAGCTGTTATAGAGCCTATATAAGCAACAGGGCATTGGAGACAGGCAAAATCAGGAAAAATAAGCAGTGTGCGACAATACAAAATGAAATAATAGTGAAAAGAAGACAGCGTGATGCATATCTCCCTATATTATATCCAGTGGTACATTGTGTAATGTGAAGGTAAGCACAGGTTTCTCTATAATGAGGCGTACTGAAGTCAAAAGCTTCAACACACCTTTAAGGACTGAATGTAATGGTTGCTGGATTCTCTGTAAATGATTGAGGTTTTCTGGTTGAGTAACATAAGTTTCCTCAATATGTCAACAGTAGTGTTTGGATCAAGCCTCAAAATGGAGTCAGTGTGTGCTTTGTGAATCACTTTTATAACTCAACACTTTGTTTTGTTTAGTCATCCCTTCACAGCAGAATTCATGAAAACATGAAGGATTTAAACGTGGGAGTGTTGGTTTGTTTTTTTTTCATCAATTTATATTTTCTATGTCACATGTACAATTTGAAACATAACAATGACGGATTGTTTTAATTTTCGTGTTTCCACAGTGGTGAAAATGTGTAGACTTTGAACTTGTTCTCGGTAGCTGTGGCTCATGCATATCATAATATCGACTCGAGTGTAACTTAAGCACTGCATGCATTTCTGCTTCAAGCAGAAGCGGTATAGCCTGGTGGCGGGACCTCCGAAGAAGGACCCGAAAGTCAAAGGAGTACAGTCCACAGCTGTGCAGGCCTTCTTGAAGAGGAAGGAAATGGAGGAGAGAAGGAAAGGTAATGCTTTGGTAAACGAGACACTAGACCTTTAGTCTTTGGTCCATGCTCCTTTTTGGGTGTGTGTTTTTTAGAATTAACCTCTAGTCCGGCACAAAGTGAAAGGTTGCTTCCTGAATGTTCTTCCTGGTGTTGTAGGAGAACAGCACATGCAGTACACTTTGCATTCATCATAATTTCTAAAAAAGACCTTTTCAATTGTGATCCTTCCTCTGGTGTCAGAAGTTCATGCATCTTTCTTTAGCAGTAATACAACCACAGAGGAAGAAGCCTCTTGAAACTGCCACGTGGGTGAGGAAGCGTTTGTTGTAGAACTTGACTCAACTGTCTGGTATGAATTTGCCTTGCAGAGCTGGAGAACAAGCGAAAGAAGGAGGAACTGCTGGCTAAGAGAGTGGAACTGAAGTCAGATCGCAAGGCACGTGCCATGGCATCTCGCACCAAGGACAATTTTAAAGGCTACAACGGCGTCCCCGTGGTGGAGCAGCCCAGGAAGAGGCGGTCGCGAGCGGAGGTCGACGAGGAAGAGCAACAGGGCAGGGCGCGTGGCGAAATCAGTGACGACGATGAGGACAACTATGAATATTCCCAAACAGATTCTGAAGAAGAAGAAGAAAAAGAAGAAGAAGAAAAAAGAGATCTTCGCAACGAACCTCCAAGCAAAATGCCCGCCAGACCCAACAAGAAACCCTCTGCCCCAGCCAAGCCCACTTCATCTCCCATGAACTTTGCAGAACTCTTGAAACTGGCGCAGAAGAAACAGTTTGAACCAGTCGAGCTAAAACCTGCCAAAAAATCCGAAGAGAGGCTCCGGACTGCGGAGGAGCTAAAGGAATTGGAATTCCTTGAACGCAAGAATAAGAAATTGGAGAAAGGAAGGGAAGCCAAGGTGGACAGAGACACTAAGACTCAGCCAGTCTCCATAAAGAAAACCATACCAGAAAAGGATGCCAGAAATGTAAAGCCACAGAAGAGCTCATCAGAGAAGGTCCCCCCTAGTGGGATAAGTAAAAAGCCAAAACAGCCTTCATTCAGTGAACGACCTCATAATTCTGCCAAATCCTCTCAGGTAGACAGATCCAAACATGTAGCAAACAATTCCAATTCCTCAGGTGCCTCTAGTATGAAAATGTCTGTGAAACCCAGTTCTCAACCCTCTGCCAAAACATCTGTACCTAGGCCTTCCTCTGGTCAGAAACCTACTGCCACCAGTGACCATAACCAGATGAGAGGGAGCCCTTTCTCATCTCCTGGGAAGACGGGCGGTTCACTGGCGCGCCCTGGGCTCAGTTCCAGCTCTGCTGCTGCACGGCCTTCTAGCGTGGGGCAGAGTAGGCCGGGAAGCAGCGCTCAGGCCAGAGCTGGCACTGGCACGAACAGCTCTGTTAAAACGGCAAGTGCGGGGCTTTCCCGACCTGGAAAGGGTTCGACGGGGCAACCTGGCGGTAGTGTGCCGCCCCGTCCGGCCAGCAATGGACAAATGCGGCCCGTTGGCGCTGGAGTACCCAAAACGGGGAGCAACCTGCAGTCACGACCAGGAAACGGCCCCCAGGTCCGTCCTGCTGCCGCTGGGCCTGGGCCTGGGCCTGGGCGACCTGGTGGCAGCATGCCTGGGCGACCCGGAAACAGCGTAGGTTCTGGTCCTGGTAGGCCCAAGTGCACAGTGGTGTCGGAAACCATTTCATCCAAAAACTTGGTCCCTCGACCCGGGACTGCCCCTAGATTTCCTCCAGGTCATAGGCCCATGATAAGACCGCCTGGTAAGTTTGCTTTTATACCCTACAAAATAATAATTGGCCACAGTCTGTCTGTAAAAAAAACTATTTTCTTTGTAGAATTTTAATATCTAATCTTTGTTACTTGTGCATAAATCTCTTAACCATGTAAAGTCCAGAGTCTTCCCTACGGAAGTTTCCCTAAGGTTCGGAACTTGTCTTTTCAGCAACCACTTGTGTCGGGAACATATAACAAGAAAGATTAAGGTGTTGGGTCACCCTAGTTGGATCCCGATCCTCATATTGAATCAAGTGGTACAGAATATGATGTATTTCTTTGCTTCTTTCTGTTACCTCTAGAACAGCTGAAAATCCACGAGTCACAGTCTTAATTTATAATTGGCTGATATAAAAAGTGCTTTAATTGTTGTGATTATAGCTTTGTAAGCTGGTACAGAGGACATCAACGTAAAAGAGGCCCTGTTTATCCAGTTAACCAATTAAATCTTTCAAAACCCTTAATTTCTACTTATCTTTCCTTGAGTGAATAAGATACATTTTGTGCTTAAGTATAAGACAAAAGTTCTATATTATTTTCACTGCTTGCATAGCTTGTATACTTCTAGGTTTGCTAAATAAAGCATGCCGTGAAACAGTCCAAAATTGTCCCAAGGGTAAGAATCCATAGAATGACGGCACTTGAGAGGCAAAACAGGCACTCAAAAGCTGATTGAGTGAATTTTTACTGATGGTTTCATCTTGTCAATTTGCTTTTCTTTCTTTCGTTAGTAAGGCCTCACTGGCACTAAATCTCAGAGACAGCGATACATTTGAATAAGCAGCTTTTTACCTATTTTCAGTAGTGGATTTTTTCCATTCTAGAAAATGTGATATTAAAAAACAAATACTTAAATAGGTCTCCAGAATGCAGTTTATGTTTATAACATAATACTAATTTAACATAATATTTGCACATTTAAGGAATTACCGATTCTTCAATTTTGTAAGAGCCTATGTCACGTTTCAATGAATAGAAGGTGATGCGGTTGTTTTAATTTCCCTTCAGGTCCTCCTTTGCCGCCAATCACTTCCAGCTACAAGCGCAGGTTTGATGATGTCAACGAGGAGGAGGAAGAGTATGACTCTGAAATGGAAGACTTCATTGAGGATGAAGGGGAGGATCAAGATGATATTTCAAAACATATCAGGGAAATCTTTGGATATGACAAGTCCAAGTACGTAAAAAGTGCTTTTTTTTTAGAAGTAGGTAATGGCAGCCTTTAAAAGACCGGGTTCAGAATGACTCTTTCCCATATCACATGGGCTCCTATTTACAAACATACCTACCAGTGAATATTGCACCACATTTTAAATCGAGCACAGAGCTTATACTGCTTGGGTTAAAAATGGGCCTTATTACTTAGATGGCAGGTGGAACTGCCATGAAAGTAACTTTGAATTGCACTTTCGATCTGAGAGGTGAGTTTGCCCCACATGCTTTGACCTTAATGAACAGTTGACATAAGAAGAGAGACCAGGTGCCCATTTACAGAAGTAATTGTTCCAGTATGATGCAGACCTTGTTTAACTGGTGGCACTCTGTCCACAGATACAGAGACGAGAGCGACTATGCACTGCGTTACATGGAGAGCAGTTGGAAGGACCAGCAGAAGGAGGAGGCTAGGAGGTAAGAGCCAGCACCTCTGTCCACATTCGAAAGGGAGAGAGGTAGCGGATGTCCTTTTCCTTACCTTGAGTTTTTTGATCCTGTGGCTTCGCTTTTGTGGATGCCTTCTGTGACCACTTGGGCTGGCAAGGCTTCTGTGAGCTGGCCGTGTCATTAAGCGAGAGGCACTTCACTCCTCTGATCGGGACTAACTCTGTTGTTACGGCAGTGTGAGCTTTGGCCTATACAAAGTGCATAATGGCAGAGTAAAAAGTGGATGATTTTCGATCTGTAGTTCTAAATCGGAACAGTTTTGAGCACCGTGTGTCAACTGCAGAAAAAAGAATCGCATGCTCCGCTGGTATGCTGAATTTTTTTAACACTGAAGTTTAGGTGTTTGCCGCATAGGGTTTTCGAACTACCATGCCACTCAGATTTGTTTCTGCCTTTTTCTCCCCCTCCACTAGCCTGAAATTGGCTGTAATAGAGGATCAGGAAGAGATGCGTCGAGAGGAAGAAGAGCTTAAGAGGAAAATGGCCAAGAGACAAAAAACGAGATAACGCCGTTAATCGGACCCGCGCACCTCGTGTTCGCCTCCACCCCACCCCCCATCATTCCTGAGTGCTCAGCCACTTGTTCACCCTAACCAGCCTTGTGTCTCTTTTCTAGTTTACGTTTGGGTATCAAGGAGGATGAGGAGGATATGCTGAAGGAGCAAGAGGAGATGAAAAGGAAAATGGCAATGAACTCAAAACGGAGGAAACATTAACGAGCTGAACATGGAGAGGCAGTCATAGCTCAGCATCGCTGCCTGCTTTGTTACATGGTTTCCAGCTGATTTCCAAGGACACACTTTTTAAGCTGAGCAAATTTGCACTACAGAGTCATTATTTCAATTTTGAACTGTTGAACATAAAAAATCTATTTATCAGGATTTCCTTTTTTTTTTACAAATCTGGGACTTGTGCTGGTAGTACCGCTTTATTCTTTTATCGTTAACGGCTACATCTAATTTTTTTTTTCCCTAATGAAGAGAAAACTGTGTTCATGAAACTTTGTAGTGTTCAAGTTTTAATTATGAAAAATGTTAATATAATTGTTGAATTAGAAAAAAATACATTATATTACCATTTGTTGTTAAAGTGTATTTCTTTCATGTTTTAAAAGTGACTCACAGTCTGCATTTTTTTGTTTTATGGACTAAATTCTTTGGTATAAAAGCATATTTTCTAAACAACTGAGTACACTAAATCTGCAAAACAATATTTTTAGATTTAGAAGCCAAATTAACCCTTTGTAAAAGGTTTAAAATTTTGCTCTTTGTGTAACCCACTGTCATTGCACTGGAAAAAAGCGGAGAAAACTTATTTTTATCCAACTTTCGTAAATCTCTATTTGGGGTGAAATAAGGACAAGAAAAATCTGTAATTGTTTTAGTTTTAAACTGTATAATTTGAGTTTAACTAATGCAATTCTACCTTCAAGATTTCCCATATTAATGGGAATATGTAAGCATTACTTAGGGAAATTGTTGGAACATTAATTTTACTAAATTATTTCTTATACTTAAGTCCCTTGACGTGGAATACCAATTCTTGAAAGACGTATTTAGAAGGAGAGTTTCATTCCCAGGCAACACCATGGCTCCATTTTCAGGTATTGATTGCGCTGTGAGTGCTACTGCTGTTAGGACTGTTGTATTCTCTCTTGCAAATGTGCCACACAGTGGCAGGAATATGGGAATCCTGTGGTACCAATATTAAAATATTTCTGCACTGTCAAATCAAAGGTTTGTTTTATGGGGCTTTCACTCTTAAGTGTACAAAAACACACAGTTCACTGATACTTTAGAATTATGCATTTGTCAACTCTAAATTTACTGTTCATTGTTACAAAGCTACCCTTCCCCCCACTTGGTTTTTGTTGAGTAGATGAGATCTTCTCTCTTAAAAATGTGTAGGCTTCCTAAAATAGATTTGATTAGATCACCCAGATTTACAGCTTGTTGTCATGGTAAATGCTGTAATGTCTTGATCTGAATGGGCAGGAGGCCTGTGCTTTTCTGTTTTTCCCCAATATAGAGGGGATGTTTACACTGATATTTGACATTCATGATCTGTGATTAAAGAGTTTTACAGTAATTACGTCTAAGGCATGAGGGTGGGTCAGTATTTGATTGACTATAAGTACAAGGTGTTTGTTTTCCTTTTCAATGTAGTAGTAGCTTTTTTTCCCATGAAATGCCAAGGTTGTATAATAATACCTGCAATACACATAACAGAAGTGAAAAAAGCACAGGAGACTGACCCAGTACACTGGGTTATAATTAACCCTAATTGAAAGCACTTGGTCCACAACTTCAAATTCTCTATGCCAGATACACTAAGTCAAATGAGACTGCCTGTTGCACCAGGCCTTGGTGGACATCTTCAATCTTTCTATCTTCTGTGTGTTTTCCAATGGAGGTAAGGCTTCATATATTGAAGAGCATTGTAATTTCTTTAAGCCAACTCTGGAGGATAGGCAACTGTTTGACAAACTATTCCCAGCCCTGTTCACAAATGGCAACGCGTGTGTTTCAGAAAACAAAAGGCAGCAGCACATCTTTGTCAGCACTCCATTTTTAATCTTTAGTTTTTTTTTAAATCAAAATGGTATATCATACATGTGCTTCATGAATCGGCTCACCAGGTGATGTTCCCTGAATGGATGCCAGTCTGAGACTGGACAATGTGATTGGGGTTCTCCCAGTGGGAGTATGGTATCTGCTGAGGTCTGGGTGGCCTTGAGTCTACAAGGAAAGAACCACAGTAGCTTATTGGTCCTGAGCTGCCATCTTGGACCATGGATAGCACTGACATATCTCTACATGAGAATCTCCCACTGCCTGTTATACAGGTAAACACACGAATAAAGCTTTTTGAATATTTCCATGCACATCTGCATCTAAATATTAAGATCCATACATTTCAATTGCAGATGTCCTGGTAAGGATCACAATTTACTGTACTAGTCCTTTCTCATTTTGGTTAGAGTAAGAGAGCAGGAGCATTTTCCCATGCTGGAATATGCAGTATATACTGTATATGACCTGCACTGTAGAGGTCATATTGTTTTAAAAGACATGACATTATTGGCCATCCAAAAGGGTGGAAATTTGCCGTTGGCATCACTATAAGAAAACTACACAAACAAGTAAGATAAATAAAGATGCATTTAAAACAATAGTACCAGACATGCAACAATGCATACTGTAGATCAGGTTGGTAGGTTGCAAAGGAACAGGTAGCGGGTTCATTCCGTGCTGAAAGCGAAGAAAGGAAACAACGTTTCGGCCGTGGAGCCTTCTTCAGGTGTGAGCACTATGCAGTATGGAATGCATACACACATCTCGCTCTGCCCATACCGCATTATTATTACATGAATCCTGTAGTTTCATACAGGAAACAGTCACTTAGCTATGTTAAATATCCCGACTGCACAGGTAACAAGGTATTTAACAAGGTAGTTTTGTTGGCCGTAGCCATTTTAAGAAACGTGTTTCATTTTTTAATTATCTTTACAAGTACGTTTGTAAGTAATGAATAAAAAAAGTTGAAAGTTGAAAGTTCCAGATTGTGATGGATTTCTGACGGTGCAGAGTATAGATGACATCCTTCCAAGAAAGTGCAGCAGACTGTTGGATTACTTCAAGTCTGGAGTCTGCCCCATGATTTAATCAAACAAGAGGTTATCAGAAGTTAACTTCGGCGTTTATTTTCATGGTGGAGAAACAGCAGTAGGAGTAAATTAATTTTAAAGTTTTTCCCATGTTGTGCTATATTAAACATTCCTGATACCTTGATCAAGATACAGTATAAACTGGCGAGATAATTTCTTCCTGTTTTAACAGCATTACATGTTCTGCAATACTTCAACTATGCGTTAGGATTTCTGAGATGAACCTGAATTCGCGTTGTCCGTAGTGAGAACAGCCAGCCCTCTCTGGCTTTCCATAGCTGACGTTTGGGAAAACCCATTCACGGAAGTTTGTGTTAAGTTTAATAGCTTCCTAGAGAGGGTGCAGGTAGTAACCTTGCATTCTTGTCGTTTATAATTTATTTAAAAGCACACTTCCAGCGGATGTTCAACAATGGATTTAAGTCAAGAGTCAATACGAAAGACATTAGGAAAGGTTTGTACTTTCACACGTTGATGTGATGTATTTTTGTTTCTGTTTTAAGCACAATAACTGAAGATGATTAAATATGTGGTTTAGCTACTGGTATAACAAGATTTGCTGTTCTTCAGTTACTGAAAATGACATGCTTGAAAAAGCACGTGTTTTCTTTTAACCCTATCCAAATGAAACATACTGTAAATCATTTGTGTATAGAGTTAAAATAATTTCAATTTTTAGCTCTGTTGTTTCATTTACTAAACTTAGTAGGGAGATAATGTATTTGTAAACATATTTTACATTTGCAATATCTTGGTTCTTCTTGTGTAATCGTATTTATTACATCGAATGCTTGAAAGGATAAATCTAGACTTTATTTTCCAAAGCTTAACTTCTTAAACTGGTAAATTATTTTATATATGTAACTTACTTCCCACTAGTACAAGTTCAGAGACGTTGCCATTGAAGAACTACAGAAAGTTCATCGTGTGAACCCTGGATTTAAGCCATTGGTAGACACGTACAGTGAGTGAGACAAACTTTCTTGTTCATTTTGTGTTTACTTCATCGAGACAAGTCCTATTTTTTACGTCAAGCAACTATAGCAACCTACAGTATGACCTAAGACGGTGCTTACCATATATTTGTTAAATCTTTGATGGTATAGAATTTTAGAAGGAATAAGACCAATGGTTTACATTTTCTGATTGAAGTGGGGACTGCTTGATGGAATATATTGTTTTTGTACTTATAGAGCTAAAATCCTCTTTTGAATTTTCAGCTTTTAGCGATAGTTCCCAGAAGGACCTTTTGAAGCTGGTGGGGAATATTCCAGTCAGCTATCAAGGTATGGTTGGACTTCACATATTCGTAACAAGTACCAGGAAAGCATATCTGTATGTTCAATGGGAGGATTATATTACCCAGCTGAGGTCCTTGAAAAGGGTTTAATTGTACACATGAACTGGCTGATTGGTTAGCATTAGCTCACAGTGCCAGAAGGTAGAGAATTCATGTAGTAATAATAATTAATCATTAATAATTGCTTACAATTATATAGTGCTTTTCTGGACACTCCACTCAATTACTGTGTAGCTGTAGCTCTACAGTGGTCTTAGCGTACTCTTCACCTCAGAAAGTTTGTAATATGACGTGACATTCTTTGTCATTTTCCCAAGAGTAAGCCCAAATGAAGCAGGCATGTCAGCAGGGTTTTGAGGTCTCTTTAAAGGATTAGCACCTTAAAAGCTGGAAGAAGTTGTTAAATTTGCCCGGCTAAGCCAATAAAAACAAAAACAAATGTTGTTGTCCAGACCTAAGTTATTGTAAAAACCTACGTACTTATTCACTGGTCCACATTTAATTACTAACTAGACTACAGTTTGAAAATCATGTGTCCTCTGACTAAATCTCTTTCATTTAGAATACTGATTGTTTAGTGCAGTATTTTTTAATCCTGGTCCAAGTGACCACTGTGATATTTGCTTGTTGAGTTACAAAAGTTCCAAACCACTGAGGCTAATCAAATTCTCTAACTCAACTGCTGGCTTTGAAATAACCGTTTGAACCATTGTTCAGTTTAATAACATAATTTGCTGTTACAAATTAGCATTAACTGTAATAGAGTGGAATATTGCGGGCTCAAGTTCAGTTGCCTTGATATAGAGGTAAAAATTGGTTAAACAGGAGGTGATTGGGGGCGCTTCTATAAAATGCAGTCAGGGGTCTTTTCTGTTTTTTTTTTTCTGCGTCGTGCTCGGTTCTGCAGGTCGGTCATACAACCTTCCCATCCTGCTGTGGCTGCTGGACTCCTTCCCATTTACTCCTCCCATATGCCTCCTGCGGCCGACTCCCAGCATGATGATCCGAGTCGGGAAACACGTGGATGCCCGGGGCAGGATATACCTGCCCTACCTGCATAACTGGGACCATGTAAGCAGCCGAAACAGTGGTCTATTCACTAAAAGAGAAATACTGTTATGATCTAAAGATAATTTGCTGATATGCGCACGCTGCACACAAGTGTTTCTAAGCTGACAAACCACTGAAGACATCTTTGGCAGTGCTGCACTACTAATGTCAGCAACCTTTTGAACGTTTTCTTTTTAAAAATGTGGAGAGATTGGTTTTCCTTGTACAAAGCCATGTCCTAAATGTAGAGCAGTAAGAAATACATTCTGAATATGGCCTTTGTTCCTATTACGTGGCATTTCAAAGGTAGAAGAAGCATTTGTGTCTCTTCTTCCTTTGGCTTTGGAGAGCAAATAGCCTGTGGTTGATTTATCGCCTCGACTCCTTCTTGGCTTCTCTCTGTATTGTTCAGTGGGTCATCAGGCAGGGTGAGATTAGTAACTCGTCTTGTTGGTAAGTGGTGAAATAATAGGATTGTGGTTATAAAAAAGATTTGAATTTGGGGACGATGGCAGTGGTTTTATTCAGAAAATTTCAAACAAAGTAATTGTATTTCTTATGTATTCCAATGTCCTCAAACAAACAGGAGTGTGTTTCATTAGCACTGTGCAGTGTTCCTCAGACAACGTCTGGAGTTTCTAAGCTTGTTGTTGCAGTGGGCTCTTGTAACATCCTGCCTACTGTAAAAGTCACAGAAAACAAAATGAGAAAAAACGTATTCCACTTTTCTTGTTTCAGCACTTTGTTGGTGTGTCAGGGCAACACAGAAGGGCCTGTACACAGAATTCATGTACACACAGCTACACACAGGAATCCATGCCAACAAAAAGAGTTTTTCATATACAGTGACTGAAAATGCTGATGTAGAGAAAACGGCAAGTGCCCAGAAAAACAGATTTTCCCCTGACAAAATGTGTGCATTTGACATGAGACAGGTTTGTGAAAAGTCGATTCTTTAATTTTTAATCTTTTCAGCCAGCATCTTCCGTAAATGGTCTCCTCAGTGAGATGATTGCTAAGTTTGAAGAAGAGCCTCCTCTTTGCACTAAACCATCTGCAGATGAGAAAGATCCTGCTGAGCTCCTGGCCTACGTGGAGAAAATCTCGGGGGGTGCGTTTCTGCGTCTTGCCTTTCTTTGCTGTGACTGCTATTGTAAAGATGTTTTGTTTTAAAACTTTCAGACAAGATTTAGATCTTTTTTTTCTTATGTTTTTACCTTCTAAGTAATTTTGAAGGATCAGATTCTGTAGCATTTCCAGTGTTGTACTACAGGTCCTTTATACTGTACGTGTGTTATAAACTAAGAAACGACAAACTTGCTTTTTCATGGCAGGAATGTCCACCATGAACATCGGTCCTCCTGCCAGTGTGGGAAGAGTCTATCCTGAGCGGCCGGTGAACAAAGTCACTGTGGTTGGCGGTGGAGACTTAGGAGTGGCTTGCTTGATGAGTATCTTGGCCAAGGTGTTTCTTTTTTCCTTCTAGCAAGGCTGCACAAAATATTGTCTCGTCATCAAGCTTGTCATCAAGGTGTTTCTTTCCTTGGTGATCTCGCAGGGCAGTGTGGATAAGATAGTCCTCATTGACTTCTCAGAGCACTCGTCGAAAGGAGGGACTATGGATCTAGAGATCTTCAGCCTGCCCAAGGTGGAGGTTGCCAGAGGTACACTTTCTTTTTCTTGACTGTGGCCTGCATTCAGCTTCTCAGTCTCTTACCACACCACTAAAAACTGCAATAGGAGTGTGGTGGAAGACATTTTGTATGCGTTCCTCCCCAGTTTTTCTTGCTTCAGTGCAGTCGGTCTGCTATGAAAAATCACTTATTGCTTTAATATATTGTATTGGCTACCTAATTATTATTATCTACAGTGTGAACAAAGGTATTGAGAGTTCGAAGTAAGTCTCTGCAATTTTCTGTGTTGTACTCTTTACTCCGATGGAATGCGTGACCTACTGTACGAGTCACTTTTATAATGGCATATGGTTGTACTGACATATGGCTTTGCTTAACTCAACCTGAGCCTGTTTTGTGAATTTTGCTGCATTGTAATGGATATGGACGTTTGCTGCAGTGATGCAGCTAAACACCCCCGTGAGGCAGTTTTGAACTTTAGCAGACGGCAGAGATCACTCATTACAGATAATTTCAAAGAGGGTCATCTAGCAGCTCTGCTCCTCATTAAACCATTTACAGGCCCTTGTAAAGCTATGGATTACTGTAACGCTACAGAAATCCACACCATACTATCCTCTAGATGTATTAAAATGTTTAAAGTACTCTCTGTGAGAGTGAAATGCTGAACCCCCCCTGCATTTCTCCTTTCCTAGATCTCTCGGCCTCGGCAGACTCTAAGGTTGTTGTGGTGACGTCCAACGCCTGGAGTGATGACGAGTCCTTCGTGAGCGTCGTGCAGACCAACGTGGATCTCTACCAGGGGATAATCCCGTGCCTGGCTCGCTGCAGTCCCAGCGCGGTGCTGCTCATCGCGTCACAGCCAGGTACACCCTTATTCGGCACGTTGACGTGGAGAGGTCAGACTAGACTAGCGCTCGATTAATTGTAGCTGGTCAGTGGAGGTTCTGTTTGAAACACATGATCAGAAAAGTTTCCAGTATCATGGGATTAAGGGTGTTCTGTTTTTTTTTTTTGCATATCCAGTTGGTTTGTGCTGATGGAAATCTATATGCTGTTTATTCCAAAGTACTGCAGCGTAGAGCACTTTTTAGGGATTTTTTAAGGGTGTTATCTTGGACAGCTGTACGCAGCAAATCTATTGGGTTAGAAGAGCCAAGAAACAAAGACGCTTCATAGACTGATTGTCTTGGCCTTTGTGAACAAGGGCAGTACCCAGAGGCATCGTCCAGATCAATAAACTAAGAACAAATGTAGCTGTTTTAAACTTTAATTCATAACTGTTTGAAAAGATCTGGGCCTTTTCATACCAAAATGACTCATTACATCATATTTAAAACTTGCATGGATGTTATCTGAAGAAAAAAAAACATAAATCACTTAGAATGTCACTCAGTTTTACCAAATATGTGTAAAAGTGGTGGATGAGGTTCCTACAGTTTGTGTGACATCTGACATTGAATATTGTCCAGGATTTTTTAAATTGCAGATGTAGACATTATCCTTTTATACAGTACCAAAAAATTCTCTCTCAGACTCTGCTGTATGCTTCAAAAAGTAGTTAACGTTAATGTGTTTCTACGTTCTTTGAAATAAATCCAAAGTAAATTCTCAGCTGCATGTTTTTTCTCTGAAAAATTCTCTCAAAATGGACAAAATGATTTTACTGTCTGCTTCTATTTTTTAAAGGTATGTGAAACTCTTAAATTGATGTATATTCCAAGGATACATGCCACATGTAATAGTGGCAGACATTCCTGGTAATCTATCTTTGCATAGGCTATCTTGTCACCCAACTAGCCTTCCTCTGCTAACTATTGATTTGAAAACTGCATGAAAAAGCTGATATATGATTAATTGTATTCAATTATTTAGCTGAATAATGTGTTATGCAGGATACGTTTTGCATTTACTGATTCTATAAAACTTCAGCAGCAAGAAACACAGGTTTTAATATGGGCCATTTCACTGCAGGCTCTCCACAAGGAACAAAGAATAAAGAATACATTGTGTTTGAGAAGAGTTTACCAGTTTTCGGTTCTGTTTATCATTAATAAAAATATTCTATTCTGAGACAGGAAATTGTCAAGCTTTGCCACTTAGCTACCAGCCCAGCGCTGGTAAATGTGCCATCATTTTCCCAGTTGTCACAGTATCTCAATCTGAGATGCCTTCTACGTGTTGTTTAAAAAGCTTGATTAGAAACAGGTTACATGTAACAAAGCACAGGCTCCTTCGATTTGTATTATTCACTCAGTGCAAAATTTTCCAGTTCCACTCGTGTATCCATATGAAACAGTCTTTTCCAGTTGGAAAGCTCTGTCTTCGAATCAAACCAATAAAAAACTTCTTCATACCTGCTTGCTTTGGGAATTTTCTCATTTTCCAGCACGTGTTGGTTCATTCTGTTTGACCTGAAATGAAACAGTTCTGGGGTCTGGGGTCTGAGGTCTGGAATCATTTCAACATGTTAGTCAGTTATTCACATTATAAGAATTAACTTCTATTTTATACAGCACCTTTAAAAGTGACTTCGCAAAGTGCTTTACAGTAAGAAAGAAAAGCGCACAATGAGAGGAGTTGGCAAATTGCAACTTTTTGGCAAAATCAGCGCCACCGTTTCCTGCAGTGGCTCTTCCTTCCATTGCTGGGTCTGGCCTGCGGGCCTTGTGCTTCCTTGCAGTGGACATCATGACCCATGTGGCCTGGAAGCAGAGCGGGCTGCCCCCGTCTCGTGTCATCGGCACAGGCTGCAACCTGGACTCGGAGCGCCTCAACTACATCGTCTCCACGGTCCTCTTGTCACGGGCGGCTGGGTCCCAGCCCTGGGTCGTCGGAGAGCTCTCCGACAGCAAAGGTACAGCGGGCGTGCATTGTACACCCCAAATCAAACAAAAAATGCTTGGTATGTCATCCAGTTGTTTTTTCTTTGGGAAAAATACTTGGTCTGTTGTTCTTTCCTGGGGCATAAAAATGTCTGTTACCACAGCTGGAATAAGAAGACAGCTTGTTTGATACTTTCTTTGTGAAATTCCTCCAGATTTCTGGGGAAGCTACTCGAGTCGAGTTTAAATCATGGCAATTTGTGACCATTGCGTTAACAGCAATGTGATATATTTTTTAGTGCCGGCCTGGAGTTCTTCAGCACCAGCGACAGACAGCCAGCCAGAAATAACACCAGGACCCACCTCTACAAAACCACTTACAGACAGGTAATCAGACAACCCGTTATATAATGCACTGTACTGTATTGTTAAACCAAACAGTAGTGCGTTATCTTTTAATTACACCAAATGAGTGAATGAAATAATGCATTCATTTTCTAATTTAATCAGAGATAAGGAAGAGTTGGCTTTTCCTCTGTCTCTGCTCATGGAGGTACTGTATTTCTGTTGATACGTGTAAATAGGAAAGGTCATAATTGTGTTAGTACCCACTGTACCCCAATCTAGACATAAAGGATGTAAAATATCACAGGTAACACAGATAAATGATGCATTAAGGTTGCATTTAAACAACATTCTTCATTATATATCCAGAAACATTTTGTGAAATTCAGATATAAGAGCAGTGTTTCTAAAAATAGTGTATTTTGGCTTGTATGTAAATGTTTGTTGACTGCTTAAACTGTAGTAATAAAATACATTTACAACAGTATCTAAGTCAGTAAATAAGGACAAAAGATGACAAGTCTGATTTTATTACAATGACAAGTATTTTTAGAAACATAAGTTGCTTTGTGAAAGTATGCTGCGACTGAATGTAAGGGACAGATCTGAAGATGCAGATTTTTGTTTTTAGAGCATTCGAGATTCTCAAGGGGAGGGGTCAGCGGTCATTGTCCGTTGGACTCTCAGTGGCTGACATTGTCCACAGCATCCTGGCTGATCAGAGGAAGACACACTCTGTCTCTACGCTGGCACAGGTAAGTCTCGGTAAAAGTTATTTTTGACATTTGGGAAGAGCAGAAAAGAATGGTATAGATGCTTTCTGTATCAGGGAGGAGCACTGGTGACAGCTGTAAAATTGAGGTAAAAAAGATTGAAAAAAGTTAAGACACACTAAAAGTTGCAGTTATAATATCTTAGAAAAATATCCGTTTTATCAGGATCATTGTAATCAGTGTTTATCACTGCATTGGTTTCAGTTTATGGTGGTGAACATGAATTTGATTTGTACATAAGTAAGAAAAATTGATTATATAACTGTAGCTATGGTACATCACCCACACGTAGAACACAGGCCCGTGTTCCTGTGAGCTTTTGTGAAACAAGTATTAGGAAATCTGACACTTGACACTAAGTTCAATGTAGAGTGTTTTAGCCAGCACTGAGAGTGAGCTGAATGTGTAAGAGACCGACAGAACTCTGGTTCTGGACCCCCACAGACAAACACGGCCGCACCCATTTGGAAAGTGTTTGGCTGCGAGTCTGACATTGTAGGATACAATAGCTACATTTAATACAGTGAGTTTAGGGAAGGTGCACATAAGCTCCCAGACCATCTGTAAAAGGTGGTGCTGAAAAGCTAGTTTGGGATTTTGTCATCCAAGTCTGGTGCCAGGACGCCAAGAGATGTATTGCAAATCACCCCCCTCAAAAAGGCAACAGCTGAGGAAACGAATGTTTGAAAGGAGTAGAAACAGATCTTCCTCATGGGTCCTTCTAACTGAGTGTCCAGGGAACTCAGCCTGTTGTGAAATCAGATGAACAGGAGCACATGTGAGTTCTGTACAGCTGTGACTAATTAGTTCACTTCAGCTCTGTCCTCATGGTATTGATACAGAGATGCAAGTCACTCCAATACAAGCTAGAAGCTTCCTTTACAGATGACTTCTAGGAAATGACCGCTCTTAGGCAGTGAAGAAATGGGTGCTCTTGACTCGAGCAGAATCCAGTGTCCTCTCTCATGCTGGGACTGTGTTGCAGGGATGGGGAGGTGTCTGTGGAGAGGTGTTCCTCAGCCTGCCCTGTGAGCTGGGCACAGGGGGAGTGGCACGGATTTCAAAACTGACTCTGGGGCAGGAGGAGGACTTGAAGTTGAGGAACAGCGCAACATCGCTAAGGAACTTCATTCAGCAGCTCCGGATATAAAGACAAGGGTGCACTGCATGCTTCCACACCACCTGTCTTGAAGGTGACGCGACCTGATATGTCAGTGTTGAGCTTCTGGCACTTTAATCTGAATCTTTGCCTTGTGCGTGTCCATTGTAACAGAGGATAACCAAAACAGCATGTTTTAGTTTACAACACACAAGAACTTTGGTGGTACTGAAAAAGTCTCTTAGAATTTAATTTCTAATGGATGTGGTAACCATACTTTACTAATCAGTAGCTCAGAAAAGAAATAGGCCTCTTTGATGACCTGTACTCAAGTGTGTTGTTTAGAAGATGATCAGTGTAACCAACAGAAAAATGTCTGCTAAGGGTTATAGCTTGTTATGATTTGTTATGGCTAAAGATTAGCAGTCACTGTAAAAAAAGAGTGATTCTTTTTTACACCAATTTTGTTATTTATCTCCTGTACTTTAAGATATAGGTACACTAAACATTTTATGCCAGTACACATTAGAAGTATATAAACAGATTTGTATATAATGGCAATAATAAATTCCCCCCAAATCCAGTTGATATTCTTGAAAACTCTTGAAATCATAGGGACATGATGCCTCAAGATGTCATGAATCACAAACTGGGATAATCTTTGTACAGTATGTGTTACATTTTACAGAGGATATTGAACATGGAAGAAATTTTTGTTGTAGATTGAAGTTTTACCAGCTGCACTGTTGTCTTATTTCAGTATGCCTGTGCATACAGGGCTCTCCACATGTTGTTTTTGTAGTCTGTTTAAAAGTAGTTTTGAGTGTCAAGTGTAGCTTTTTCAAATACTGTATTGGTCAAATATTGTTTCCATCAATGTTTACTTACTAGTGCAATATACCATCATGGTTCATATCATTATGACAGTAGACTACATTCCTGTTCTTCAGATTATTTTGATTATGATGATTTTTTTGTGACTAAATGACCTCTATTATGTTTAATTTTTGTTTAATACACACCATCATGCGACATGTCTTAAACTTGATTTTGTATAGATGGCAGAACTAAGATTTATTTTAGGAAGAACTTTATGGATTGCTATCAATTCAACCACACAAGTAACACAGTACCGGTTTTTGTCCTTTATCTGTGCATTTTTGTGTTTTTTCAGTTTCTTTACAATAACCCTTTGCACAGCTATTAAAAATATATGCTGGAAAACGTTTGTGACCATGTGTAGATCTTACAGATGAAGGAAAGTAAGCAGGGTGTAAAATAATGGGAATATCAGAAATCTCTGCTTGCTTGAATTGAGCACTGATATTTCACATTTACATGTTTGTAATCCAGACTAAACCCATTTTAAAACATACAGTAAGCACTAATGTGACAACATGTAAAGATACAGGGTATATTTGAATTTGACCTCTGTCACAGCAACCTCAGCTACCTGTCCACACCCAAGTCTCATGGGTTTGCCATCCAGCTCCAGCCATTACTAATAAGACCACACTGGAGTACAACTCTCATTCTCCCTCTTCTAACAGTCTGGAGCTTAGACACAAACTCCGACTTCTTCCTAGCTATTCTTAGAACCCACTTAATTAGCCCAAAGACATGACTAATTCCACACAGGGCACCTCACACCAGCTCCTTTCCCTCATGTGGAATTACACTCCCTCTGAGTGCTAATTGCTCGATCACACCAGGTGTGCCTCAGTCCACAGATGTTCTCCATTAGCAGGTGGCTCTCTCACAAAGGCACCTCTGTATGTCATAAGCACTCTTTATGTTTGACATAGTATACCAATACAATACAATTTCAATACATGGGCATCGGAAACCAGCTGTAAACTAATATAAATGCAGTATATCTTCACATCAAATATTTTAATGGCTTCGATATGAGCTCTGACAATTGGCCAGCTACATGTCAGAGGGAAGTTGACTTTTAGGGGGTGTAAAATGTACATGCAAGCAGTGAATCTGTGCAGTAGACGGTACCAGTATACCTCTTGCCAAGGCCCTGTCATACAACAGACTGTCTCAAGAATTGACTGCAATCCTGCAGCAGATAGACATGATCAGAACTATGTAGGGGGGTCTGCTGCCTTGAATGTCACCAGAAAGCATTGTCCCCATTCGCACTTTGCTAGGAATATCAATGATTTTAGATAAGACTTTTTCCTAATGTTAGTGCCACTATTGTCTGGACATCTGTGCATGTATAGTATTGTCAGACTCATTGACTCGCTGTTAATTCTACCCACTCAAGAAAACCAGTCCAGCCAGACATGAGAAATTTTTTTAAATATATTTTCTGGTTCTCAAACGTTAACAGCCACACCATCTTGACAATATGTACATGTTACAGAATGCAATAAAACCAAAACCTTTTGGTTGGAGCCCTTTCAACTCCTTAAAAAAGGAATGTACAAACACTATTAAAAAAACGTTAATAAAAATGGACATGAAGGAAGCTCTTTTCAGTTTTTGTTTTCGCTTATAATACAAACAAAAGTGCAAACTTTTGAAAGAAAAATAATTTCTGAAAGCCATTACTGTCCTTTCGTGACTGGAAGTAACCCCTGCCCCAGAACTGATTCCTTGAAAATCTCTAGAGCACTTTTGTAGACTTGGTAAATAACCGTTAAAAAGCTGTTATTATTCCTGAGCTGCTGTGCAGTGTAACTGCATTTTTTCTTCTGGGGTGAGAAGGGGGAGATGGGAGATGTGTGCTTCAGACGGACGGATACTAGGCAGTTTTCACATAAGACACCGTTCAACTGAAAACAGAACACACTGGCAATAATTTCGTGAAAGGCCACATCCGAGTTGACCATTTGTACAAAACATTTCTCGCATACTATATTGTTTAAAAAAATAATACCATCGTTTAAAGCAAACCTATGTGCAAAACAATTTTGTTCCACTAGGTGGTAATATTGAGTTATAAATAGTAGAATTAAAAGGCAACAGAATTTCTATGCAGGGCTCTATTTGCAAGGCTAAAGCAATTAGCTTTTTTTTTACATTACTCTTATGTACAGAACCACTTTTATAAATGATCATGAATATTGTATTTGTTTTTTACAAATGCAAACTGTGAAACTTCTGCATCCTAACAGTACTTAGGCAAACACTCTTAAAGCCTTTTTCATCTGCAACCGGAGGCCAAGTGTCCAAGTGTATAAAGTCTCTTAAAAAGTTTCTTTACTCTATCAAGCACAAAAAGGCAATTTGCAAAAATGTTAAAAGGACAAAAAACCATCTGGATTTAAACAATGGTATTTGTGCATTTCCAGGTCCACGTGTAGAAGATGTTAATCGTAACTGCAGTGATAAACACTGAAGTAAGGGCGTTTCGCTGTCCTGCTAAAAGAGGGGACCTGTTGTGACCCACACAGCTCATCACAGATTGCTGTCCAGTGAGCTGGCCTGGAGGAGGTGGTATTTCTGTAACTTGATGTAAGAGCTTGGAATTCATCCCACACGCTTGCAAGTCCTTATAAAGCACCTTGTGGAACATGAACACTTGTTTTTATCTAAAGTTCCTAACAATATTTCACGTCTTGCTAATCAAATATGTATTTTTTGTATCATTGTTGCGGATTCTTTTATACAAATTATATTCTCACTTTACACATAGAAAATATCTACATTATTCCTACAAAAAATCCATTTCATTTCTATAACAAATATGAAATGAACTGGCATTTAATACTGCAAAGTTATTTGTGTTTCGATATTTAAAGAGAATTCACCTTAAAAATTGTCAATGTAACTGGAAAAAAAATGCTTCTCAATACATTAAATTAATGGAGTCTTAGTCAAAGCACACTCTCCATGTAATAGGTTTCCTGTTTAAATTTCTCAAGCCATGGCCCCTAAAAACATGAATAGTAAATGCTTTAATACGTACAGTATTTACAGGAGCAATACAAAGCACAGTACCACAGTGGGAGTTTTCTAAACTATCATTATTTGTAGTTCCAAAATGTTATGCAGCAAAATGGATATTGGTCACTCATATTGCTCTTTGAAATACTGTGAGCCTGCTCACCATTATTACTCAGAAGAATTGTGCCTGTTAGGCTTAGGCCAGCTTGGTGTGCTCAGAAAAAACTGAATATAGAAATAACACGTATCACAAAATTGAAAAACTACGTGTAGTATTAGGATTACTGCTTCACCTCCAACTGATACAGCTGGAACAGTGTATTTCAATGACCAACTTGGATTTTTTCAAGAATTTAAAATTGTTTGAAAAAAGAAAAATACTTACAAAAAAGCACCAGTTTTCCTGACATTCTTTCGTACCATAATTTAAAACTAAGAATATATTTCTAACTAGAAGGAATTTTCTGTTCTTTGTATAGTACTGCTTAGAAGAATTAGAATCTAAGACATAGATGGCTAAATAAAATACCAAATTCTACTTTGGATGTTATTATAATAATAATAATAATCCTTCAAATAAGAATGGAATTAACTTTAAATATCTACCCTGCACTCAACCATATTTCAAATAGAAATTGCTTTAAGATCCAAGTGTCCTGAACTCATTCCTTTTCAAAACTAATGCTTTTTTGAAAATGCATGGTCTTTGTATTTCTCAATTGTGAAAGATGCTTAAACTAACCACTATAAAAAATTAAAATCAATGTTTTAAAAAAAACTGAAAAGGCATTAAGAAAGGTTCTTGCTTGAAAATGGTGAAATTAAAAGAAATTGTTTTTCACTCTCAATGAACTCCAAGAATTTACATGACAGCAACTTTGCTGTAAATTGCTAAGATACTTGTTGAAACATAAGAAAAGGATCCCCATCCAGTCCAAAGTAACCGAAATACAGATTTAAAACGTCACTGATTTTGGAACTTGGTGACCAGGAGCATGTGTCCGGTAAAAATCAGAGTCGGAATGTGTCACAGGGACGCCCGGAGGTCCTCTCTTTGCCAGAGCGTGTGGAGAACGTTTTGGAGCTGTTATTGCGGAAGGCGTCGGTCTCGGGAGCACATTAGAAGAAGCGCACTGGAAGTCCTTTGCCTCTCCTTCTTCCACAATAAAGAGGGTTCCAGCCTCCATGCAGCTCTCGGGGAGCTGGCGGTTATCCTGGATGGGCCTGGAGGGTCCCATTTGTTTCCCCAGACTGTGGCCCGTGCCAGGATCTCCCCATCCTGGGGGAGTGCCCTGGGGCGGCTGAAATGGGCGTAGTCTCTCACGGAACGGCGGGGCGGGCAGATCCAGAGGATCGCCAGCGCCCTGTCGGTTTGGATCATCCGGCCCGAGAACCGCCAGGGAAGGAGAGTCTGAGTTGGCGGAAGGAGGCAGGGCAGCCTGCTTTGGAGGGAAGAAGGCCACGGGTGGGGGTGGGGGAGGAAACATCATGGGATCGTTGGACTCGGGAGGTACTGGAAGGCTTGAACTCCCCTCTGGAGGCTCAGGCGGTGTCAGCGCAGCCGCCGAGTCCGGCAACACATGCGGATACGGATCCTCTGCTCCCTCTTCCATGTTATCGTAGTGCGACGTGTTCGACGACCTCCTTTCCCCGGAGTGACCAGGCACTCCGAGGCTGCCCGGGAATCCTGTGGCGTCCACGTCGGCACATGAGGGGTCCTCAGATATCCGGAGGGGAGCGAGGTCTGGAGGCTTCGGCGGGATGCCTGGGCAAGGCATCTCGGCTTGAGGTACCTCTGCCTCCACGGAGGGGGTCGCGCAAGAGCGTCGTCCAGGCTGCACGTCTGGGGGGTCTGCGCAAAACTGAGGCAGGGGAGGAGGAGGGGGAGGAAGCGGCAGATGTTCTTCCAGGAGCTGCACAGGCAACGCGACGGGGTCTCCAGCCGTTTCGGGGGGTTCATAGGGCGGCGGCCACTCACTGGGCTCCCCTTGCGGTTCACCGTCGGCTGCCTGGTCCTCCTCCTTCTCGTCTCCCACCGAGCCACCTGCGCCTGCCGCCGGGAGAGCTCCTTTCGTCTCCAGCTGCCGTCTGGAAACAACACCTCCGTGCGGGCCAGGGAGATCTGCTCTGTTATCCGAACTTGTGTCCTTTCCCCCTGGAATTCTATCCGCAGTCTGAGGTATGGTGTTGACTGGTATTTGGATTCCGGAAGGACCTCTGTCTTCTGGGGTGTGGGGCCAGCTCCTGACTGGGGTTTTTACTTCATGACTGTGCACCATGACAGGACTGGGAGAGGGCAATGTCACATTTTCCCCATTAGGTGTTTTTGGGTCCCGTTCATGGAGTGGAGAAGGGCTTTTATCTGGCAGAACTGTCTCCTGCTCTCTGTCAGTTCTAAGGTCTACTGTCCCTGGTACAGTTTTGCTTTTGTCATTGGCAGCTTGGCAGGGTTTTACTGGTACAAGCAAAACTGGCAGTTCCTGGCCAAGGGGATTCTTTGGAAACTCTTCAGGTTTAGCTAGAAACAAAAGACACATTGGTAAATACAGAGCACCTCAAACCTTTTTCTAATTGTAACTGCAGGTCGCATTTCTAAAATAATTTTGCAGCTATATTCTTATAGTTGTTGCATTTTCATGTTTTAAATCCATTATTTAATGTCAAATCTCCCCCTGAGATAATGCTTCTGCATATACAGGGGTGAGTTGTCTCTGAACAGCCTATTACAAACTTTCTTAGAACGTAGACACCATTAGACATTCAAACCAACTTAAAAATGCTACTGTCTTACATCTATTTAGAAACAGTAATAATTAAACTCAATAACTGTGGCAGAACCTGGAGGAGGAAGATCAAGCTTCATTTTGCGTAGTTCTAACATGGATGCTTGGAGCTGCTCAATGACTGAGTCGTCATTTAAGCTGAAAGATCCTGCGATCTTCTCCTGTAGGAACTCCCGAAGATCTTCTAGCGACATTTTGAGTAAACGTTCTGAAAAATAACAAAAGAAAAATATACCAAATTGAAGTATTTTTCCCATTTATTTACAAAAGTGTTCTCTACTTTTAAAACTGCAGTTTTTTAAAGGCCGGATATTGAGTTTTGCGTCAAGGTACTTTGAGATTATTGAGATTAAACTTGTTGAAGTGAGGCCAAGGGGCTGGTGTGGTACTCACTCTTGTGCAGTTTGAGAATGGTGTAGGCCATGGCAGTCAGGATTCTCTCCCCTTCCAGGATATAGATATCCCATAAGCGCAGAGTCAGGGTGAATGGTGTCTGTTGTAAAAGAAAAATGATACTTGGTTAAGGATTAAGCTTCCAGTAGATGGAAAATGTGGTATGTGTTGAGAAGAAAACTAACAATATGCAATGAGCAGTCTTTCTGCAAAATGACAGCATAGTCTGTGTCTTAGGCAAAGTGGTGCTATAAACTCAAACTTTCTATTTGTTTGAACTTCAGTCGGCAAATATATTGACTGCAATTCACTTGATGCTTGAGCACAGTGGCTGGATATCCCACATGCTCACAAGCACAGTCATACAGAAAAAAAAAATGTTTGGGATACTTTTTATTCAAGCTTCAGTATCTCTGCCAACTGTAACCCCTAGATTGCAACTTTGTAACTGAAGTCACTGAATTTTTTTCTGTTTATTGCCAACCTCATCGTAGTGCAATTGATTCTCTTAAAACTCTATTAGCCATTTAAAATTTCCTGTAGAGAAAAGGTTGTTTAGAGGAATAAAGATTCGACTCCTGTGCCTTATCTATACCCCTCTACTTAATATTGGACAGAGCCACCATGTGGTCACGCAAAGCCCTCTGCACTTCAAGCCCAGAAAACTGGAAAGGTCTCTGGATGCTGACAACAGCTCTTCTTTGCCTCCACCACCAAAACCACTGGATTTAATGTAACTATGCTAGAAAACCAGGGACCAACCATGGTAACCTCTCTAATCATCCAGCAGTTCATTCAAACACCAGAAGACTGCAGTCCCCCTGAGTATGGGGACCTAAACAGGGCATCCTGTACATCAGGGGTGTTCAACCCTGGTCCTGCAGAGCCCTAGTCCAGGTGCTCTTATAGCTCTTATAGTTTTTAAAGGTGGGCAGCACCTGTAAGATTTCGATGAAATAAAACAAGTAATGTGTTCAAATGAAATCTACTCTAGTCACTGAGGGCAGAAGAGAAAGAGTTTAGTCCACAATTTTCTCTTAATTACTTAATTTAATAAAACATCTGTTAAGCTTACCATCATAGAATTATACATATCTCACCATTAAATCACCGTATAGACATTGGTGATTTAATGGTGAACTACAAAATCTCTTGGATTGTGGTTCTTCAGGCCAAGGGCTTGAGATTTCTGCTGTACAGCAGATCCTATGACATGCATTCCACTCATGAGTCTAGTACTATATACTGAAGTACAAGAACATAGAATATACACTGTTCTTGTACTGAAGTACAAGAACAAGAACCAAACCAGCTCTGAATTCTGTTCACTCACATTTTATGTAACGCCAGTATTGAAAGTATCTAATTCTAAAGTCAGAGCACAGGATGGGCAAAATAATCATTGTATGCATTTCTCTTTAAATTAACTTTGCTATTTTTTTTACTGGTGTAAAACACCACAAACATCTGACACATTAATTATTTTAGCCTGTGGTCAACACGTGATGCAATGGTTTAGCATCTACATCAGCCAACAAAGACAAGAACAAACAATATAAATTCACAGAATTTTCTGCTCTTGATTTCTGAGGAAAGAAAATGTTTCAGTTAAAGAGTTTTTGTTCACATTCTTTATCAATAAAAATAATCCCTACAACAATAACTTCATTACAGCTCCTACAGTATTTTGCACTTCGGGGTGTTTCTGGAGTTTTTAATATGTTTGTCAAAGAGGCTGGAAAGCCTGAGGGCATCAGTGAGGATGCAACTTGGGAAATTCTTCAGAGAATCTTAAGGAATTCCCCAAAGAAGTATGCGTCACATTAAAGGAATCTAATGCTTAAAAGAAATGTATCTCCTAATAAAGCATTGTTGAAGGTAAAGACAGCATCTCAATGACAAAAAATGCTTATTATGTTTTAACAGCCTCTGTTGTTAGTTGCTGCCAAGTACGATATCACCATTGTGGTTTTTGTACAGACTAGGGCTCCTGGGAAGTTCCTGCCTCTCCAGAGCCCTGTTCCCACCCTGACATCATGAGAACATGTTGCTGCTTTAGTATGCCATGTGTGAGTGAGTGCTACATGAGCTTTCTCTAACAAACATCACCTCTCATCTGTTACACAGGGACTGCTGTGGTTAGGTGAGACGCGTTGGCATTCTCTTCACAGCACATGGAGGGCACTGATGGCAGTTTTGAGCTTCCTGTGCACTGCTGTTGATTACATTTTTGAGACAGGTATTTTGTTTGATCTCAGGTGAAGTCTGTATTGAAAGACCAGCAACGTTTTGCTGAGAGTTTCACACCTCTCAGTACTGAGCTTCTGCAAAGAGCACCGACCCCTCTGGCAGCACATACTGTAGGCTTAAGATGCATGGCTTTTCTTAGAAAACACAGATTCATTTTCCTACACAGGGTAATTCCAATTAGCAGTTAGCTAATGAAAAAATAATTCTGTCTTGTCCAGCATTTCCCTCTTTTACTTCTTCAGGTATACATACACAGATACCACAGTCCATTATTTTACCAGCTTAAATGCATGCTTATGTTATTGTACTGTATTTAATCCTTATATATGTAAAATGCATGGTAGCATAGGCAACAAAACTATTAAGACACAAAACTGTAATAATACAAACTCATATTGCATGGATTGGGTCTCTGTAATCAAATTAGATGTGAATCTCACCCTGTCAATGAAGCACTGAAGAAACCACTTGGTTGTGTAAATCCCTGTTGACATCTGCTCCTTGTCCTGAATTAAGACATAGAGGTGTGGTGAAATGTGATGCCAACAGCACTGTAAAAATTCTATAAGTAGCACAATTACAAACTGTCTCAGAACTACTGAAAAACTTGATCTTCTGTCACACTGTCAGAATCTTATCTGTAAATCGATCAGTCATTTTAAGCAGGGACATTCTTTCCTTCAGTGTTATCGGCCTGAAACCTGAGGTATTTTTTTCCCCATTTAAAATAAAACCTAAAATCACTGTTCAGTCGCACAATAGAAGAATAAACTCACCAAGTGTTTCTTCAGCTTTGGAATCAGCTTAGATAATATCTGATCATGGTGCACCTGAAACCTCTGAAGTTTGGGAAATCCTGGGATAAAGAACCCTTTGAAGGGAGAAAACCAAGTAACGAGGATTAAAAACAAAAGATTTAGAAAACTAATATCCTTCTAAAAGTAAAACATGTGATTTAGGAACATGCAAATTCAATTGTAATCCCTATAATATAAAGCAATATTAAGATATTTATTAGGGGCAACAAAACAGTCTTGGTGTCCTTGTTACTTAAGAATGAAGACATACAGTACAGTATACATACACTTGAGAAGTTCACCATTTCAAACTCTTACCATGCATTGCATGCTTCTGGTTTGTCAGCAGCTGTGACAGGGCCCAGAAGGCGTCCTCCTCGTTCATATACATCAGTAAGATGGCTGCTATCTGACTCATGCCTTGACAGTAGCTCACCTCCTGCAAACAGACACAGCTCACATCAGAGAGCCCCTCAGTGCTCTGAACTACACCTGAACAAAAACATGCTTTCCAGCTGCTGGGCTATCAGTTGGTAGCAGCATTATTTATAAGAATAAAAACAACTTAAAGAATCTACTATATTAAAAACATATCTGAGACAAAAATGTGACCTCTCCTCTTTTTTTCTCTCTATATCCTCTAGATTTTGTCGTGTGCCAGTTTTTTTTTTTGTTTTTTTTTTTTCCCAAGGAAAAAAACAGTTCTTTGATTAAGCAATGCTGTCATTCTTCACCACATTCTGAGCTAAAACTAAATAACCAAATAAAACCATTGCCCAAAGTGCAAGAGAGAGAAGTACACCGTCTCATTGTCTCAGTGAGCACCATCTCAAATATATGTTATACAATTGTATTGTAGTTGTTCTTTATTCTTTGTACTACTTATGTCCGAGAGCTAGCTAAATAGCTTTTAGTTATACCATATACCTGTATATGAGTATAATGACAATAAATTTGAACTTGAAACAGACACTTATATTCGCAGAAGTAAAACTGTTTTTTTTCTCCTTTAGTACATTTTCTCCACACTGCTTTTCTCTGGGCAAACAATCTCTGGTTTGACCTCTATCGCCACCAGCTCAACAGGGGGCCAGTGGTGAATTTAGCCAACCCAGTCAATTCCTCCTGTTTATGTCACAGAGTGCTCATCACCCCAGGTCCCTGGCAGAAAGCGTTTGATCTGCATGTGAAATGGGTGTTCACGACCTGAGTCGACACAACACACTGAGGTAACCGAGGGACTCTTGTTTTTACAGTTGAAGTTATTCCATGACAAAACTGCGATGGTGTGTTTTAAACTCACCGTGTTATAAACGGAGTAGGCTGCCAACACGTGGAACAGGGCCTGCTGCCTGTGAACAGAATGGTTTCGTGAACATACAGCACATCTCTGTCTCACTCCAATGAACAAGGAACATTCCCTGCTTCTGATTCATCTTGGCCCAGGGAAATACAAGCAGGGTTTATCCCTCAGAATCAGACATTAGTTAAGGGGTTGCAAAGTAACAGTTTATAAATACATAAGCCAGTAGTTAATACTCTTCTAATGTATTATGGCTGGAACAAGTGACCTTCCTTAAATAACTATAGGATTAGGATAGGGGTATCATTTGAGATTTGTCTTAGTTACTAATGTAATGTTGGTTCTGATCATATTGTTGTTAGTAAATGAATACTTTATATATATATTCCACTAAGAAATAACATTTTCAACTCCTAATCTAAAATATTACCCAGAAACCTAATTTTGTTTTTTTCTTTATTATTCTCGATGGTAGGAATTAAAAAAAAATTGGTGTGCTAGACTCATTTAGCAATTTCACCCATGAAATATGCTTTCTTAACCATAACCATATAAATATATCCATCTATTCTCACAGTAATGAAACAACATTGCGATTGTGTAGTTAGTCTGACACCAATATATCTGCTTTCTATGTTTCTTTAAAATACTGGCTCAAAAGCATGTGCTGGAGGAAGAACAATAGTGCAAAGTCTGCAATAGGATTTTTGCCTATTAACATTCACACCCAAATACTGTTAAGAAACATTAGACTTCAGAATTTAAAAAGTAGTCTGCAAAAACATTTGCCTTTTAAAATATTAAGGATCCATTGTGGCTTTGTAAATATTTCCACTGAGCCTCCACAGCCTGGAATGTGTTTGCTTGTGAGTGACGACCGAACATTTCTGGCCTGTATTCCACACAAGCGCCTCTTAACAAAGCTGTTGGAGTGCTTTCAAGGACTGCTATTACTGTACTGAAGAAGAAAGAAAAACTAGAGGGGAAAAGAGTAAATGACAGTTATTTCCTTTTGTGCTCGTGCTAATAACCATCTTAAAAAGAAAGCTCAACTAAGCAATTCAATTTTAGTTTAGAGGCTTAAAAGAGCTTGCCATTGTGATACTTGGCTGGGGTATTGGAATTTCAAAGGTCCAACTGGGGGTTTTGCATTTACTTATGTATCACACAAGCTCTGAAATCCTAAAATGTGCTTCCAGCTGCTAATTAAAGTGTTTTGTAATTTTCTAGTTGGGCTTGTAGACTTCTCTTGAAGGTACATGTGATCCCAAGAACATTATTACAAAGAAGGTTTGTACCAAGAATCTGGATTGTGGATTTCGAGAAATTAATAAAACTTAAAAACTAATACAGATTGCCAGGTAAGCTAATTTTAGCGACATCTGTGTACTTCACCCCTGAGAGGTAAGGGAACTGAAGGCCGGTACATGGGTGTTTCCTGTAAGGCTGCACTGTCACAGGAAGGCTAATTAAACACGCTGACAGAAAGGAAATGGCTTTGTTTTGGCTTGCGAGTTGCAAGGTTACAGTCAAGCACAGTTACACTAAGGTGTAAAGGTTTAACCTCTTCAGTACTGCACAGAAATGTTCAGAAGGATAGTATCCACCCACAGAAAGAGTGACATGAAAAGAAAATTCTGAATTTGTAGACCAAACAGATGCAGTATCTCAAAATGCTTCGTTATCTTATTATTTAATTCTGTTTGTTTATTTCATTGATATAATTAATTAGAGCTTGTTTTCAGTTCTGAAAACTTAGAATCCAGACGGTTTTCTAGGTCTCTTTAAATCATTAACAGTTTAAGACCTTTGATGTGTTAATTTGGTCCAGTTCAGCTTATCATTGGCTCAATTAGGTGGTTAAGAGCAGGAGAACAGCAGGCAATAGTGGAACAAAATCCTACAGACATCGTGGGCCCCCAGGACTAGAGCTGTGCACCACTGTCAATAAATCACTCATGTGGATGGATAAGTATCCTGCGTTGGGCAAGTCTGTGCAATAGTGACAATACAGGAATCAGTGCTATTGTGGAGTTTTGACACCTGTAATGGGTGGCAGTTTTCACAGATTATCACACTCAGTGTGCATCAAGAATTTATGCAGATGGACGGAATTTCCTGATCTACACAAACAGCCAAGTAGTTTATAGGCTACACAGAAGAATGGTGAATGGTACCAGAGTTTTGCAGTGAGTTCATTTGCCTTGAATTGCTTGGCACCGGTCTTTGTGTGATTAAAAGGCAGGAAACATGCCGCTTTTAAAAAGAAATGCAATAAGGATGTGCTTAAAATAGAAACCTTATACATCTGGTAGTTTAAAAAGGAAGCAAAAAAACTGTAGTCAATTCATAAATAATATAAGTAACGGCCAAGTACAGTATCATTCCCTGGTATGTGACTCGGACATTTCTCGATACCATCATACCAACACAGGTTGTTGGACTTTGTGGTGGCTAGGGAAAGTTTCTTCTCAGAGCCCGCCTTTTGTGGGTTCAAAGAGGTAAAAAATCATGATGGTGGCAACACGGCTGTTCTGCTGCAGCATGAGAATACAGAACCACCACCAGCTTCTTGAACAGTCTGCACTTCAGGTCTGATCGTGTCCCACTCAGCTTTCACCTCAGGCCCTGAAGGTGTGCAGTTCAATTCATGATACTAGGTCACTGACTCATTCATTTTTAAAAACTGGTATAGATTGTGTGTACATATATACCATTTATTAGAGTAAACATCCTCTTACACTTTCTAACTTTGTGCTTTAGAAGTTAATCTGTTGTTTTAAATCTTAGAAACATATCTTCCCTAAAGAACTTCCTTGCACATTAAACGGTTAAATATTTTACAAGAGAAGTCCGTTAACATACAGAATTATATAAGGAGAAACAACACAAAATACACATAAATAGTTGGACAAATAGGAAAGGATGCAAAGGGAAAAAAGCGATAAGAGATGTGATATAATATGTGAATCAAATCAAACTTTAACAGAACTCTTTGAGATAACTGGCACTGGTATTAACTTACTTCACGTCAAACCGATCCCTGAACATTATGTGATTCCGGAAGGTCCTGTTAACATCAAGATCTATTTGCTTAATTTCTGTGGAGTAGCTCCTGGCCTGTTCTTTCATTTTCTGTGGAGTCAAAAATAACGAGAGATATTAATAACAATTACCAAAAATACTTAGCAACTTATGTGTGACTTCTAAAAAGTAAAATCCATCTCTCTCTAAGGTTTTGACTTTGTCTTCCCTGGTGTCATGACTAGATGGGCAGATTTATGGTGTCCTCTTTGTTTTCTTTAACACCCTGGTCTTAGAGAACTCCAATGCAGTTATTCTCATAGGTCACCCAAAATCCCTGCTACTGTATGAAAAAATCAGAATTACTTATTTAAACCATTTATTACTATATAATATATTATAAACATAATATTATTAAGTAAATTTATTAAGTCAATCGTGAGAACATTGATGCTTGAGGAGCAAGATATTTTGTTAAATTGTTCTAAACTTAATTTAAATGAGTTTATTGAGCACACCACTGATCAAAGTTAATCTATTCCAGAACTTTAACATTTCTGTTTTAAATGCTGCCTATGAATCCTTCTGGACTGTGACTCTCCAGGAGCAGGGCTGGAGACACTTAAGGTAGTGTAATACAAAAACAGAAGAAAAGTTCCAAAAAGACTGTGAGCTCAGACCTTCAGTGTCAATTCCTATCTCATTGCTCATAGCTCACTTGACACCTATGACATGTTAACACTTCTAAAGTGACTATACTATCACAGCCTTTAGTGGGGCACAGTGCAACTCCAGAGAAAAATCCATGGTAATATAAGGCAGAGTATACTGTAATACAACTTTTTGAATTACTCTGAAAGTAAGACAGATGTCAGGCAAAAGTACTACAATATGCTGCAAAATTACCCCCATCTTACCACAATGCACAGAGTTAGTGTGCTATTTATAATACACTTTCCAGTAAAACAGTTTTGCTGATTAATAATAATATAATATGACCAAGACTGATTTTTTTGTGCTGTAGTACTAGTACAATGGAGTAGTCTGAAAAGTGCAGCAAAACCTTGAGACAGTGTTGCAGCCGTGCTCTCCATCTGAAGGTCTATACAGAAACCAACTGTGAACAGGACTATTTCGCTGGTTTATAGAGGGTTAAGTTAGATCATAGCTGACAGGTACAGCATGTTCATAACCCTGTTCTGTTTATTCTGCCACTGGCTTTCCATTTCAGAGCCCAGAGTCTGTGCTGCTCCCTAACACAGGGCAAATTATCTCAGTGTATAAGCTATCTCATCCTTAATTCCATCCTAGGTAATCCTATCATCTGTGCAAAGATGCTAACCCCAGTCAATTAAATTACCAACATCCCTTTCCTCGTCAGTCCAGCATATTGTCCTGGTACAACTGCAGATCTGCCACCATCTGCAAGCTGAGTGTCTTCGTTAGTACTGAACATCGACAGACATGAACTATCTCCACTACAAAGTGCACTTTTGTTAATAACATCTGAATCAACTTCAAGGTTGCTAAAAACCAGCTATCACACTTAAAGTGAAGGAACAAGCTTGCCAAGCTTTGAGCAGGTGTGCCTACCTCATACTTTCCAACATTTTCATTCTTTAACTTCTCAACTTCCAAAAGGACGGACCACACCTGACCCCGAAGGTGTAAAGGAATTCCTTTATAGACTCTCCGCAACATCTGGGAGGCAGAAAGAAGATTGTGGATGAGGAGAGGAATAAAAGCAAACATCTCAATGCTGGAGGTCTGGACTTCACTGGTACAACTCGACTTGCATAACCAGGAAGGAATGAAAGCCACACAGTGGCTGTTCACTGTTCTCACCTTTTCGCTGTTTCGGTACTTGTCCCATTTCTTCAGCATTTTTAGCCATTTGTCCACTCTCTCAATCTCTTGTTGTTTTTGCTAACATTAGAGAAAAAAGGAACGAGAAGATAAAAATATACATAAAAGGCTACAGCACGTGGTACACATCAAATGCAGTTTGAAAATATTAAATATGGTAACAATAAAAAGAAATGTATTTCTCTGTTAACATTTCACTGTATCTTTCAGAGAGTTATTAAACATTAGAAGGAGGTTACTAATAGTCCCATACTTCGATTTACACTCTTTATACAAAAAAACAGAGTGTTATAGCATAAAGGTACTGTAGGGGACATTTAGATGGAGATTTAATATCCTCTGTGTCAGCTGAAGTTTTACTTTTAGCTTCAGCTGTAAAACAGCTGTTTACAGATTGTGAAGGCAGTTTGATTCTTTGGTTACAAATCTAACCTGAAGATCACAGTGAGGTATTTTTGAAGAGTTAAGTTACTTAAGGCTACTAAATTGCTCTGAAGGCTTTTTGAGAGGAGCTGTGTAACAAAGACAAGACAACAGCTTGTCCACACTCTGAATTCTGAGTCTGTGAACAACATTATGCTGTAATATACAATATATTATTCAAAGATCTTTGTTGTTTCTACTGTACATATGTTTCCTTGGTGACTCGGTCTTATTTTTTACACCAGATCCTAACTAGCATATGTTGCTCAGCTGCTGAACTCTAGAACACTGAGCGAAAGCCTGGAACCTTCTCAGGCGGCCCTTCTATGAGAGCAAAGCCAGCTCTATGAATAACTGTGGCTGCCATACAGTCTTAAGTATATTCCGGTGTTTCAAGATTAGCTTGATTATGTGTGGTTTAATGTAGCATAAGTTGCTGTCACAGAAGGTGTACAATTTGGGAAAATTACAACCATATGCAGAACTACCCTGCTGCACTTCTGGTAAGTGGTCAGTGATTAATGTTGTCCTTTTTGGACAATGCCCCTGAGCTGTAATGGTTTTCCCTGTGCTATGAACTGTTTGGCTCCAGCTGTCTGGGTGATACTCAAAGGCCAGAATCCCCAAGCATCCCATTACCTTCTCCTCAAGTGCACTCGGTGTTGGAAGCTCCTCCTCACTAACAGAAATAAAACAGGGAAACTGTTAGCTCTGTGTCAGGAAAAAAAAAAAGTCAGGAGCGGCAGTGCTCCCAGAAGAACCTGGAAAATCCAGGAAATGTAGAAGATAACAATGTTTTTCTAAAAGTGGACAAGGACTTTTGCAGGTGGGGTGGCGGGGGCCAGATTATGGGTGTTGTTAACCACTCTTTCCATTACACATATTTTGTACTGAGTGAAGAGACGCTTGAACTTTTGACACATTTTCATATGTAGCTTTCTCTGTCAAACACCATCTAAAATAGTATAAAATTGCCAGAGAAAAGACCTAAGTTTATACATGGATCGAGTGAAGGTAGGAATCTCTCTGACAGTACTAGGCAGTGAGTTCCAGATCAAGCTGCAACACACAGTGTAGCTCCATTCCAAGCAGGAGAAGCAGACGGGCCACAGTGAAATGAAATGAGTTTACATTTACAAGCATAATTGGTGTGTACAGTCCAGACAGGTAATCAGGGCTGGTGTTGTAGTGGGCTCAGCAGGATAGGGTCTTGAATGTGAATGGAAACATGATGACTGGACAGTGCGATGAGGCCAGGTGAGGAGTTATGTGTTCACTGTCTGCTGCATCGATCTCAGGAGCACCTAGCCAGGTAGGCAAAATATAATGGAATCATAATCATTCATAAAGAGCGCCAATGAAGCCCTGTGTTACTCAACCTCCAAAATATGATGGCCAACGCTGAGGTAAAATGGAAAAAGGTCAAGGCTAAATAAGAGCCCTAATAACTTATGGCTACTCACTGCAGGAAACCGAAGCGATCGGTGACTTTGTAGATGTTGAAATCGGCATCCTCCCACGGGTCAATCTCTACACCCTCATGCCTGCCCTGCAATCAGAGAGAGCAACAAAGGGTTGGGGAAACAGGATTGAGTAAAACACGTGAAGGAAAAAAAAGGGCACATCAGCCAGCAGACACTGGAAATGCAACACCCACGGCACTCCCAAAGAACACAGTCACTGACCTCTGACTTATCTCACAGATAACTCCTGTTTTACCTCAAAACATTAAAGAATGTGGGAAAAAAAAAGATTAAAAGAATATTGTTTGGAAAAACCTCAGCCATTTGTTTGAACTATCCTGATTTTTGGCTGTATTTTTGTGGCCATTTGAAGCAAACGAAGCCATCAACTTTAGTCATAGCGGTGTGCTGTCCTTTCCTCCCCTTTTACATAACAGCCAGAGGAGAAAAACAACAAACATGACCCCGGACAGATCTGATCACATTGAGTCTCACCCAATGGCCCTGAAACGTCTGAACCTTCAGGCAAATGTGCCTCTATGAATCAGTAGTTGAGCCAACTATGTTTTATTTGCTTGGAATAATTATTCAGGGTGTTGCCTAGTAAAGGAGAAGAGCTCTGGATTCAGCCAGTTTAATTTACGTATGTATTCAAGTGTCCAGGTTTTGTCAAAAGAAAAATCAATTTTACCAAAGAAGAACATCGAGTGCAAAAGGCCTTCCCAATAGATTTGATCAGTTCTGTGTTAAGATGGAGGTGTACTATGCAACACCCACCCACTAAGGAATTGCGTACTGAGTTTCTCATGTCTCAGGTCGCAGTAAAAACCCCACATCCGCACACAGGGGAAAATACACAGAACGTATAGGCAGACTCTTCCAACCCGTCTAACTCTGAGCCATCTTTTAACATGTCGTATGCGACACAGCCCCATACTGAAGATTCAGCATTGATTGGAAGCCAGAGACGTCGCTAAGAGGCGAGAGAACTGATTAAACCCCCCCAGACAAGCCAAACGAGTGAGATGGGCCAAACTTTCCTCCCTTCGTTACCCTGTGACCTAATAATATTAAAATAATTGAATTGCTCGAAAATGTAATAATGCTTTCTGTATTAGTTTATTTATAATTATTTGAAAGAACTACATAAATTGCATTGCATTCTGTGTGATTCTATTTGTTTCTTTACTGGTTTTTTTTTGTTTCTTGACCATTCTTTACTGGAAATGGCAGAGAACTTTTCCTGAACAAACAGGACATGCTGGTTGCACCATAATGGTTGGTCAACAGGCAGACAGGCAGCAACATTGTGACATTAATCTGTCTCCTCAGTGTCCATGTTGACAATAACATTTGAGGTATTTTTTATATCAATATTTAACGAACCCCAGAAAGCATTAGACTAACAGAAAGAAAAACACTAAAACCTATAATATGGAAACAAAATTTCTAATAGGAAAAAAAGCATATGCAACTAATAAGTTCTTGAACATATCAGGAAAAATTATTTCTTAAAACATCTCCCCTGCGGACCTAAATTAAAGACAATGATCAGATCACAAAAGACACTGAAACTGAATTGATTTAAATAGATTCTGCCATAATGTCACTAAATCAGAGAAAATGTTCTTAGAAATCATGCAGCTCATGCAGTACATTTGTCAGTGACTGAGAGGATTAATAGTAGTAGTGAGCAGCAGATCCTATTGTAAGATCAATTTAAAAAATAAGAAACGCTACATGCAAAAAGTAAAGGCAATGTCATAAGGCTGTAAATCTACTGTTATGACTTAATATGTCCACTAAATGTATCTGATATGAATTCAAGCCTTAAAAAGCCATTGGATTGTGATGAAAAGCCTTTAGCTAAGCTGGGGAAAAGGAGCTAGAAGTACTACGTTCCGGGAAGTTGCTAGGTAAACTTCAACAGTGAGAAACAAGACCAAATTAAACAACATGTACTTGAGGATGGGACCCAGTTCGAAATAGCCAACTGCTTTTTAACACTTGACTCTCCGTAACAACTCCTGCACCCGCTCAGGAGAGGACAAGATGCTGGACATCTCTTCTGACCTGCCCAAGCTCTACTGCCACTGACACATCCTAGTCCTGCCTCTGTAGCATGCTGCCAGTGCTGCACTTGAGCATGACAGGAGATCGTAGCAGGATCTCAGCACTAAGCGTGGACTCTGAGCATCTTTACAGATTACCCTCAAATCTACATGGACTCCTCTCATAGTCAGGTCACATGTCAGTGTGCATCATTTCCAAACCTGCTCCAATATACATAGCTTCTCAACTGTCTTACTGTGAATCATGTTAAAAATGATTAGTATACCATATATGCTGTTTATATTTTGTGTGGAAATTAGTATAACTGCCATGATTTTAAATGGATTTTTGTAGGCAGAAGTTAATGATACACTATATATCATTGGGTGTTAAAAAGCCCTTAAATGTATCCATACTAGAAACCTAAAACACCAGGTCATTTCTTGACTCCATGCATTTCTGGTGTTTCTTCAGGCCATTCCTCACCTTTTATTGTGTGTGTAGTGAAAGAGATATAAAGTGATTAGTGAATCACAACTCGATAACCAGTGACTGGCAAAACAGCTTTCAACCCATGCTGTGAGTTAAGAGCAATATGCTGAGTTAAGTGATGTTGGTAGAGTAGGGTATAGAGAAGATGCTTTCCTATTCCTAATCCTAATAAGGATTCGTGGTTAAGGTACAAAGGCAATTATTTTCTTTGAGTTCCATTTTCTATTTGGTTTTTCAAATTAACTTGAAAAGTCTCTGACACCTTGAAAGTCTTTTATTCATAAAGCAGCCACTAAGATTGAATGGAACATTGTTACTTGCTCAGACCAGCCTGGTTTGGTGCGTCTTGAGTGTGCAGTCTCATCATTAAAGGGTCATCATACTACACACTTACAGATAGCGCTTTTAAGCATTTTTCTTAAAAACAAGAAAATGTAGAATGTTTTCCATTAGTACATGCACAATGGAGTACTGTAGAATTTACAGAGTTGAGATCCCTCACTGGTTTACAGGCTCCTGGTTTATCACAACAGTGAGAGAGCTTCTTGCTCTCCTACGGGTCAGAAAATAGTGGTGAAACACTTTTTTCTAACCTTTAGGAGTGTTAATAGAAGTGGGGACCAATTCCACTAAATGTGGCTGTACTGTCTCAAAAGAATGACGCAGGAGGAGTCAGTTCTCAAAAACAACAGCCCCACATCAGCAAATCAATGGACTCAAAATACCTTGTGCTTTTCACTCAGTTTTAAGGGAAAAAAATTACTCTAAAGAAATAAAAAGCTTTCAGAGATGTTTTAGTACTCTTGCATGTCTAGTATGAAAGAGACAATACAGTTTACAGTATTAAGTGGGGAAAATATTTTTTTTCCTTTTCTTTTTTAAGAAATCACTCTTTGCACATTAAAAAGAATACTTCCACACTTTTACTAAATGAAAAACGTCCTTCTGAGAGTTTGATTTCTCAACCTTGTGATTATACAATTACAGTTCTCAATCTTCACATTTAACAATTTCTTGTTTTCACCCTCTCAAACATAACTGAAGAAAGCATAGGGGTACAACTGGAAATTCAGCTAAATGGAAGCATGGGAATTCTTCTCCCAAAATGTCTTTCGCAATTCTGTCTAAAAACAAGGACGACACAAAAGGGCTTCCTAGACCACAGTTTTGAATGAGCCCAGGTCTACAGGCGGTCATTGCAGCCTCTCACTAAGGAGTGATCTAGTACAAACGATGAGCAACAGAGTGAAGAAGAGTTTCCAAGATTTTCAAATCAGGTGCAAAGAACAGTCATTCACAAAAATTTATTTCCTGCCTCTATGTTTCATGTCATAGTGTTAGATGCCATTTAGTACTTGCATATGTATAGCAAACCTGTTGTTAAACAGTCAAGCACTAGACAGATACACTTCCCACATCACCATTGTCATGCTTAGATGCTGACTGGCATGATGCCCACTAAATGCCATGTAACATATCTTATTTTACATTAGATTCTTCCTGCAGGCCTTGATGCTGCTTTAAAAGTGGATAAAAAATGGACCTGCTCCTCCTGTATAAACAAAACAGAAACATACACCATACACGTGAAAATACAGAACACTTCAGCATTCTAAATGTAGTACATTTTACATAATTAATCACTAAATGTTTTGCCAGAATATTTAAAGCACCGTGCACACATACCAAAGTTCAAACTACCATATAAACCGTGCGGTGTACATAGTTAAAAATGTTAAACAGATAATTTTATATATTTAAAGCACACTAATAAAAATACAAAACTATCAAACAATCAACATTCTGTTAGAGTTAAAAAACTCATAAGTGTAGTGTCCTTTTTTCGAAGTGCTGTCCAATGGCAACACAAGCAGTGAACAGTGAAATCTAGGGGAAGCAAAACACTCTTTAATGTTTAATGAGGTTATGGAAGCAATATTGACTTTCCCTTTAATATAAGGGTTTTGTTACCTCAATATCTTCTTGTTTTTACCAGTCATTTTGTAATGCAATGACATTAAAATTACTACTTGCACTCCACTGATGACAGACGTAATCTAACTCAAGAAAATACATAGAACTATCATATTCCTGTGTCTTTCTGCTGAATTATTTCAACCATGACAAGTAAAAAACCCTGATGGGGAACAGAATCCCATTTTCAAAACCAATTGAGAAGAAAAAGCTTAACATGTTTCTCAGCTGAAAGTAAAAAAAAAAGTAAATTAATTTAATCAGCAGTACCTTGTCATATTTTGAGATGATTTCAGCCCGTTCCTCTGCTATTAATGTCTCAATATCTTTCTTCATGTCAAAATCTGCAAAACAAATGAGACAGAAATTTGATGAGTTAAAAAAACCCTCAGTTCCATAACAAGTTATAATAAAAGTAGCAGCAGTGCAATGGATAGGTTAATGTATTGAATGACATTTCAATCATTATAGACATACATGACAATTTAAACCATCTTTTTTTTCTTAATGCTGCCTATAAAATAATGCACTTTTCTTTGAAAAACACATTACAATATAATGATGACAACTGTATAATGTATTTGGCATGTAATGGCCTTTAATCTATGAGAGACACTACAACGTTTGTTTGAAGCATCTCTAACTTTCCAGCTTTTTCTTACTTTTTACATTTTTGAGTAACATTGCATTCTGCAATTTGAATGCTCCACCTTATTCCATTCATTGTGAAGTCAACAGGAATAGCTGTTCATTAACAGAACAGACCTGAGATACTGTACAGAGAAACACTTTGGAAATTCCCCATCAGTCTAATTGGACTGTGAAGATGCACTGGGCAAAGTGACCTGGAGATTCGCTGCATGCTGCAGAACTGGACTGTAGCCCCAGGGGAAGTGAGTAACACAGCAACAGTCAATTCAATGTGGAGAGAGTGCAAACTGGATGCACCTAGTTCAGAATCACAGAAAACAAGAAGTGTTCTCCACACATGCGAAACCAAAAGAGGAAAGTAAAAACTCACATTATCCTGGTACCTTTTTTGGGCAGGACTCCCAGAAACATTGGAAATTCATTTGCAGATTACGTTTTTTTTTTGTTCCCCTTGTTCAATTTGCGATTCAAAAAGCACTGGGGATCTTCAGAGTAAGCAAACACATTTTAAGGGGTGCATTTCAAGGGGACATTGAAATAGGTAATGCAACTTTCACTATTATACGAAATTACCACTGAGCATCACTAGTGTGGGTTTGCTTTAGTTTCAGAATAAGCAGTAACTTTGCACTTAGTTCAGGTTTTGAAATCCAGCCCCATTTCCTGTCATTTACGGTCAGTGACAGAAATTAACAGCAAAAACCCCAAATGCAGAACACGGGGAGAGACGATATGTGTTTTTATAGAAAAACAATCCTTTGTGCAAATCAGCTTTTAATAAGCATACTGTACACTTTTGTTGGTAAATGTCACTTTGCTATATTCATTGAAACCTGATGTGAATTAAGAGTTTCTTGGAATAACAGCACTGATTTTTGTTTTCAACAAGCTGACAGACAAAACGATGTGCAGAGCATCATAAATGCAAGCTGAGTGGCTTTTGGCAATTTTAGAGCTCGGAATCATTAGTATCTGTGCACCAAAACATGATGAAGCAAACCAACAGCTCTGAGATATCCATACCTCAATGGGGATGCTACTGTTTAATGCCTAATGTGATATAAAATTTCATGATATGGTGCACAGGTGTCCTTCATAAGGGTCTGCGGAAGTGGATTTGCAGAAGGGACTGAACTGCTGTGTTGCTGTGAAGCTGTGAGGTGCTGCAAGTCTGCCAGCTCTGCAGCAGTCCTCAACGGACTTTCAATGAAGCAGTGGAACAGACTCGCTCTAAAACTCAGTTTAAAAGTGACAGAGATAAACCTTGGCAGCCTTTAAGATCTAAATCAGAAATATCAGAAAGAGGATATTGCTTTTTTATTTTGTATCTGTCCACACCTCCTTACATACTGTATCTTAACATGTATTTTTTTCAGACATGTTTTATTTTAAACAACAGTCAACCTTTGATGCAGCTCTTGATCAAAAACCCTGTTTTGCTCTCTGTTAAAAGTAACAATGTGTTCAATAGAAAATGATAATTAAATCAACAAATAAAGGTATATTAGCATATTCAGCTGCTTGACTGCTTGAATGGTGTGAATATTTTTTTCTACGGCTTCAAATTAGAAAACAAAATGGAACTACCAAGTGAAACCATTTATGTATATTGTATGGACATTATAGCGGGGGAAACTTGCTCTAATCTTTCTATTTCAGTAACCTGCATTAGGCTATTATAAGCTTGGTGGTTAAGTTTATCTGTGTAGCTAGCGAGAGCTGTATTTGAAAAGACCACTGGCTGAAGAAACAGATATGGTTTAATCATCATCTGTGTTTTGTAAATGGGTTGGTTACATGTTATTCCTGTTTTTCATGCGATAAATACTTACCCCTTTATTCTAAGCATAAATCTAGTTTGACTGTCTTTGACTGTTGTTACCTGTTCATGAACGTAGTCAAATTGCATTAGGAAGCAAACAGAAGCTGACAAGGGCTTGGCCTGAGATAATTCACCTCAAGGGGCTGGTGGGTTGTGGGTGTTAGTGCAGAGCAGCGAGCTGCACAAATTAAATTGCCCTTCCAGACTCAACACAAAGGTTTAGTTTCTCTCTGAGTCCACTGATGCACTAATATCCAAAGGGACAAAAGCCTGCACACACTCAAAACAAGAAGCAAGCCTGTTGCCTCCTAAAAACGTGGCAGCTAACTAATTCTTCAAAAAGCAAGGAGTCGGACTTTGACTCCTTTATGCGGGCCACGTTTGTCAATTCGTTCCAAGTGCCGTGTTCTGACTCTCATGGTGTCGGCCCCATGTGGCAGAGCGTACGGCTCTTCTTGCAGCTGCTGGAGGCATGCCTTCCCCGAGCCCCCGGTGCGACTGAAGTGCCCCCAGCTGTCTGTTTGCCAGCTGCTGGGAGCTACATGAGAAGGACGGCAGCCAAAAGATCCCACCCGAGCCGCACTGAGGAGGATACAACACTGAAAGCACTGGCCCTTGCGTCTTCGCAGTTTAAGATGGGTCAGGATTTGAAAGATGTAAAAAAATAGATTCTCGTGAGTAGGCAGTTGTACTATGAGATGCTGGTGGAGATGCTATGCAATGCTGTGTTTTTCAGACCCCTGCTGCACTTCACTTCACAACCCGGGCTCATGGAACCACAATGCTGAGAGGAAAAAAAGAAACTTCGACAGCGGCACCTTCTCCGAGACCAAAACAAAAGAAGCCGTGGAGCAGGACTGCCGTGCAGGTGCACCCTGACATGTATGGCTGTTCCACTCCTTTGGTCCATCGGCATGGCATCACAGGTTCACTCTCTTTCCTACAAGGCTCTCAGCCTAAATTCTTGCTAGATCAAAGATCAAAGCGTGCCACGCACTTCTGCGGAAAAGAAACACCTCAATTCCGATTTCTTCATTTCAGTGGTTTAATTGCCCACATCTGACTCTGTAGCTTTTTTCTAAAAAGTTACCAAAAGACTTTAATGGCATCTGCTTCTGCATTCATTCCCTTTCTCAGCTGTGTGTAATGTCCCCTCAACAGCGCTAAAACAAGGCATGGTTTACTTAATGTTGTACCATACAAAACTGATTTGAAGTGCCAGTGGGGAAATGTACTTTCTGTTGAGCAAATATTTCAAAACGCCAACACCTGTGAGGTCACACTGACTGCCAGTGCCATGTGTTTTGCATTGAAGGTGTCTCCCATGTGAACAGAAACATTATCTTACTTTTAATAGACATCTCTGAGAAACAGGCACCCCTGCCAAGCTGAGCTTCAGCTGTGTCCTCGCTGTCACTGGTCAGCAGACATCTGTTTCGCATCTGCAGAAACGCACTAATTTTGACAGAGAAGCTTGTGATCTCTGCCTGATAAGAGTCAAAATAAGCTTGCATTTCTCTTCCCATGCCAAAAAAATGATATATGGCTATTTAAAAGATTCTGCCCTCATTCTTGAGGTACACTTCCAAGTACTACAGAAAAAACCAACCTAGTTCAAAAAGATCGTTGCTTAAAATAAACGACTTGTATGAGTGTCATGTGACTGCCAGGTTTTATACTGTTAAGTCCATTACGTGTGGTGGTATGCAGTTGTTTCAGCTGCTCGCCTTTGGGCTGAAAGTCCAGATACACCTGTCACAGACTGTCAAGTGGCAAACCTGCATGTGTTGAGGGGTTAAAATCCTGTTTAATCAGTTAACTGTGCAGCACCGACAAGGCTTGATGGCCAGTGTCTTAAATACACACCACAGATTTGCTCCAAACTCTACAGACCCCGCCACCCTGTCACTGGGGGTGACCGCCAGGGCCGGAGCAGATGATGCCCATTCCTGACCCCCTTTCTCGCTTTTTGCTGGCTTCCCACATGGTCCGGCGTCTCTGACCCCCCTCTCTGGCTTCTGCTCTGCTGTCAGCCTCAGCCAGAGGACTGGCACTCGTTGCCTCGGTCACATCTCCCTCCCTGGCCTGGCAGCCACATCGGCTGACCTCCAGCTTCCTCCCTTCCTGGCACCATCTAGCATGTGCCGCTTCCCCCTTGTTGGATCGGCAGAGATTATACAGCCGCAGCCATTCTTCTGCCTTCGCCTCTCTCAACACCCCCATTCCTGTTGCACGTCTGGCCTTTTCTTCTCTGTTGCTCGCTTCTGCCTTTCTGTGGGTCCCAGGTTCACCTGGGCCCTTGAGATCAAAGGCAGCACACTCTTTGCTCCTTGACATTAAATATTATCAGTGGCTCCAGCAACACCAGTCACTAGACCCAATTGTACCAGATATTCAGCAATATATATGCTGACTTCCCCTTAATGCTCTTCATCTTTCCTTACAGTCCTCTCAATGTCTTGTTTGGTTTATTTCATTCAACAGTTTCTGAAACTAAGCTGTTGCTCCTAATCTCAATTCTGCGCATTTCAACAGGGTCGAGAGGAAATCTTTCTGGTTTTTCCTTTCTAGCAGGGATATTTCAGAGGAGAAAGTACACCCATAATTCATATATTAATCCGTAAACACTAATTGGCTGCATTGCTGAACATTTCTAAAAAAACTTTTACATACATATTTTTATATTTAGCAGCTGCAACCTGTATTCTTAGTATTTCCTCCAACTTGGTATTGTTAGTTTCTCATTCTTATTGGCTTCTTGCATGCACAAGCCCTTTTTGCTTCCAGTTGTCAGAAGATCTGCAATTATTTTTACTGATGTTGCCCTACTATTGAGCTCTTATTAAGGAAAAGTGACTTTCAAATGCTTTCACTCATGTTTGTTTAAGTACCATGTCTACATTTCTTTGGATTTCTTTGGAAGTGTGTGTATGAGATTTTGTTTCTATATTACAGCGAGGTGTATGATGAAAAAATTAATCTTAAAATCAATAACAATGCCACAGTAAATCTCCAGAATGTTAACATCACTTATAAACAAATCTGACAAAAGCATACACACCTTACAAAAACCCTAAATGAGAAGCAGTAGTCTTGAAGTATGGAAATTTCCACATGGCCACACATTAAAACAGGAAAGAAGAAACATTCTTAAGTTTGCTTGTTTTCTGAGCAGGGAGGAGAAACTGAGAGACCACAACAACTCATTCTTCTATGAGTCGAAAATGCAGTCATCCTTTCTTTATAATAGGTCTTTGCCACAATGATGCAGTCAAAACTATTCCCAGCAGAGAATCCAAAGTGGGATTTCAATGAGAGGACTTTGACTCATTAGAATGAGATCACAATATAAAACAAGTTAAAATCAACTGAAGGGTATTCACTGTCTGGTATACCATGACGAGAGTATTTAACACCTTCCACTCGCCTGAAAAAAGGAAACAGGTCATTAATCCTGCCCTCGCCCTTTGTGTGTGTGTGTTATTCGAGACCGAGTCAGCCCCACTAAACCTCCATGCGCTCCACATTCCTCTCGGGGCTAATAACTGCACTTCCTGTTTGTGTCTGTAATTACCAGGCCTGCTGATACACGGCCTGAAACTTTAAATAAGAAACCTAGCGGCAGGCAGACTTCGCCATTTCAGACAGGTCATCATTAAATGCAAATGAACCTTCAAATAAAAAAAATGAACCATACTGTATGTTTTACCGCTCTTTTAGAAATTTCATAAATTCTTAGAAATAATAATTTAAAAAGCAGCTCCTGACACTACTAAGGCTTTATCTCCATGAAAAAATCTTGTGGATCACATGGCAATACTTCTGCTGCCTTAGTGGGGTTTATTCTTAACGGTAATTCAGTAGATTGCATTGTATAATTTTCCTTGACCGAATACTAATAAACAATTATGGGGATGCCAGCTGAGTGACACCAGATTGACCCCCTCACAGAGGTCAAACTGAAAAGGCCATTATTAGATTGAAAGAAAATATGTGTCACTCATCACAGCCTTCCACCAGTCAGTGATGGCTCTTTTAGTTGTGTTGTAAAAGCACCCCGATTGCTCTTTAAGTGGAGTGGCAATGCTGCATTTGCTGCTCTTGGCTGTTGCCCCACTTGGGGTGCAGAATGAGACACAAGCCAGAGCCAAGAGTCTTCAACACTGGCAATAGAATGGCAATACCCCAGGGCAATATACATACCCCAAAGGGCCATACCGCGATTATACAGAGATTACAAAAGCATTTTTTAAGTCTGCAAGGTTAGGTTCCAATCTCTTGTTAGTAGCTCTGGAGAATAAGGGTGTACTTTTCCACAAATGTAAGCAGCCTGTAAACTCATTGGGTCCATAACAAACAGACAGTAGATCATGATCATTTTTAAAAGGTTTACAGTAATAGTATCATTGAAAATGCAACCAGCAACGCAGTGATGGATGTATTTGCAATAGCCAGGTTCATACCATGGGTCTTGACATGGTTGTAATGTCAAAGGCGCCATTGAAATGAATTACAAAGCAATTCCTTCTGTTATCTTAGCTTCTTTCATTTTTTTGTCTTTCATTTTCTTAGCTGCAGAAAACACGAACAGCCCATGATGTTCTGATTGCACGCAGAACATCTCTTTTATGACAGGAAGAGACTTCAGAATGTGTCATTTACAAAACCCAAGCATCAAACCCTGTTATAATAAAGTATTTTTTATGATAAAATTGTTTTTCTTTGTACATTTCAACTGAAAAAAAACAGAACATATACTGTAAACTCCAACACCAGATGTAGAAAGAAAGACCCGGTTACCTCAGATAATATTAGGTCTCACTGTCTATTAATGTGCTCCTCAGCCACAAGCCAAACCCTACCCGCCTGTTAACCCTGCCCTGCTGGTTTCCTCTGCTCACACTAGCTGCTGAACAGCCTTTATTGCACCTTTTTGGAGATCAGCACCACAGTCACTTTCCTAAATTACTTAGGGGTGTCAGCTGCTGCAGAACCACTGAGCACTGCCTTAATGGATTAGTGCATCTTTAATGAAGCCTGGGGCAGATTCATTTCTCTGGGGTCACTCCTGAAACTCAAGCAGGAAATGGAAACATTCCTGTAAGAGTATACTGTGCATATGTAGTCCTCTTTAAAGAATACAGACTCTCAAAGTAAATGTCTATATTTATCATGAGATTGGTTCTGTGTTTTCAAAAGCCGTTTGTTTACTGGTATCTTGAGTTAGATCTTGTAAGCTCTGCAGTCAGTAATGCAAATCTCAGTGATAAAACACCAGTCTCATGGTTACCAATGGGATCAAGAGATTTCTATGGTAATTTTTACTTACCACAAACTGTACAAGTGTAATGATGTCTTGTAGAATAGTTCAAAATATCTGTAGCAGATCTAATCCTGGAGAGCCACCGCGCAGTCCATTATATCAGTCACCTTTAAATCATCAATTCGAAAAGGCATAGAATGTCTGATCAATAAAATAGTTTGTTAAATGAGGCAATTTTGGAATGAGGTATGAGCATACAACAAACGTTCAGAGCAAGAGCTGTTATTTCCAGTCTTATGTAAAGAATTTACTGAATTTTCTTCTAAATACAGTATATGAAAAATTGTAAGTCTTTAGAAATGAAGGTGTAGTGAACGGTACTGTTCAGGCCCAGGTGCAGGGCAGTGGAAGTGTGAGGGTCCAAGGAAGCATCTGCTTTAACACAAGATCAAGGGTGACCTTTCTGCTCATTGTTACAGTTGACAAATCTCTTGAGTCAACAGTCCTTCATTCCTGTAAACCAATCCAGAAGAGTCAATTTTCCCACGGGACAACGCAAGATTATCTGAGCACTGAGGAGTGCTAGGATTACAATGGTCTGACTTCAAGGAAACATTGTGGACATATTGCCATGCAAAGATTTCTCTCCTGACTCTCTCCTGAATCCAACAGAAAGTCTATGGCACCAGTTTGCCAATGTCATCCCCCACAAATGGCCAATTTATGCCAACTGGCAGCATTTACACATGAATGGTGGAGGTACTGTATATTCCCCAGCAGTCCATCTCCACTCAGCGAGGATCAGCGAGATCATTCTTAAAATTAACTGTGATGTTTTCAGTCTGACAGTTTGTTATGTTTCTTATTAAAGATCGAGATTTTCTGGGATACAGTTTAATATCTAGGTTTCAAATGTTTCATGAAATCCATCGAGCCTGTGCTTTGTGTGCACCACTATACTGTAGCTTTTTCATTAAAGAGTTGGTATAAATAGCACTGCAGCCCTGCTGAGAGTCTTTGCACACCATTTCTTTCTGCACAGAGAGCACAGTGAACAGATGTCGCCTTTCTTTGTGCTAGGCAAATTGGTTAATTGACTTTTACAACCACCGGCTCTACAGACAAATCATCTGGCAAACTAATGCCACTGAACCTACAGTTTAAGATGTTCAAAGGCAGATTAACACAATCTCCAAGACCAGTCTAATGCTCCTCAAAAAATATCCTTTAAATACACTTGAGCATATTAATAGCAGCCAGTAATGACTATCAGGATGAGGGCAACTGATTGATTATAGATGACAGCTCCAATAACAGCAATGTGACACGTTGCTGCACAACCCAGAATAACGTTCTCATGATTTCTTTTTGCTTCGATTGCATAAGATCAATCCAAAGCCCTGTGGTTACATATGGAAACGATCTGGTTTCAAACAGAAAGCTCTGGCAGCATCATTTGCTGAAACAGAAAATACAGCAAGGGTAAACTAAAAAGATTTTGTGGGCTTTTTCTTGGTGTGTGTACTGTATTAGATCTCAAAATACTGCCGATGCAGATATTTACTTTTAATTCTGCACTATGGAAAAATAAACAGAAGGTTAAAAGTTTTCACTGTATGATTTCTGTTATATGATGGCATTTGAATGTGCTAGAAAACCGTGTCGTTGCTATTCTTGTGTACCATGTTTTAAGATTAATCTTGTTTTTTTATCTTGATTTTTGGAAAAATCCCAGTGCATTGAGGAATGTGCACAAAAGGGACAAACCGAACACTTAATGAAATAAACACATAACGAAAAACACATGGAATACAAACAAGGGCAATATTTTATGACATGAAAAAGCAGAACCACCTTCATTTTTAAAACAAAATCCTAAAAAGACACATACTGTAGTTTGTGAGATTTGGAAAAGGAGAGGCTCTCCAAAATTAAAACAAGACAGCACAACAACAAATGAGAAGCTCAGACACTTCTCATTACAATGATGAAGGTTCTCAATACACAGTAAGCAGCCCCACAACTTGATTTTCACTTACTCACTCACTGTCCTTGGTACAGGATGTATTTTTATAAACAAAATCCATAAAGCTAAAAACCACGAGGCTGCTCCAGTGTCAACTAGTACTACTATCTACTATAGATTATTAATTACATGCAAATAATAGGAATATCGAGAGGAAATATAATATTCATCTGCTAAGTAAGATGTCTTACAAGATGTCTGCTTTCTGGATCAGTTAGTTCTGAGAGCAGGTGACGTCTGTGGCAGATATAAACCATTTTACAAACAGGAACCAAGCACTGAAGCATGCCTTACCACCCTCAGTTAGAAGACGCAGTGCTTCAAGCTATGGATGAGCGAGCTCTAGCACCGTAAATCCAGCCAAAAGCAGCAAAACAAAAACAGATGTTGAAAGATGAAAAGTTGGTTACAGCACAACACGGTCTCAAGTTTCTCTAAAACGGGCCTCCTTTAACACTGGCACAGATACTGTATATCCGCTCAATGTACTGCTTCTCCTATTCCTACTACTGCTAGAACAGCTACAAGCATCACTACTACAGCAGCTGCAGCTACTGTAGCTGCTAAAGCTATTACTACTACAACTACTCTGGCTACTGTTATTATTACTATTACAGGTGCTACTGCTGTAAGTACTTCAAATGCCAAATATACACCATGCATACTCCACTTGTACAGCAGTGCTTATCGTTGGAAATCAGACACAAAGCACATACAAGTCATCGCTAAATTTACATGGTCCATGTTTCACATCAATATGTTCAGTCTAAATGGTTTATTTCTGTATTTATAACCGTCAGACTACTGGGTCTAGTATATATTTATATCATGTTTGATTTTGAGTTTGGTTTGGCTAAAAGTTCTAAATCTAAATGTCCATAACAAAATAATAAAAACCCTGAAACCACATACTAGTTCTTGTTCTTCACACTGTCTTAATGGCAATCTTGATATGTGCAAAACTTAACTTTTCCCCAAAAATTCATCATTTTGAATAAAACCAATGTTTTGCTACGGACTGATGCTCTGTACTAATGCAGTATTCAAGGCATAACAATCTCACAATTTGAAGAAATAGATTATGATATGTGGTTCACAAGAATTCTCCAAACATAAATTCTGTATTAGGTCTGTATTAAAGTAAAATTAAGAATGACATAATATGTATAATTAGCGTGGAGTGAGTAGCAGGTCAACAAAATGTCAGGCTATTACACCATAAATAATAACCTGTGACTCATTTCCCCAACTTTTGACTAAAGATAATTTAGTATTAGAGTGCAATATTAAAAAACACAACCTCTATTAGTCCAATTTGTATGCTTTTCTAATCTCACATGATGCTAGTTAAAGAAAACTATGACATTTCTGTGCTGTCTTCATCTGCAAGTCCTAATACCACATGAAACATAGTCTTACGACTGATAGCAGTATAGGATAGTGTTTTATCAAACATGATTTAATGGTGTGTCATTAAACTGCAAAACAAGAAGGAAGCTTCACATTTCCACACAAATATTGTAATAACATTTTTAATTACTCTGTAATTAGTGATTACGTTATGCAAGAATAAGCAGACTTCCATGTACTACATCTTAATACATTAATATAACATGATATAATACATTATATAACATGATGTTCTACACTGAATAAGGACTTCTATGTTCAGTATTAGCTACAAAAAAGGTTTGTTCTAGTAAAAAAAATAGACCATAAGTCTAACAATGTATCTACTGAAGAACATAAGAACCTACATTTTGTTCCCGTTAAAAACCTGTCCGCATAATTTGCTACCAGAACTTTACCAATCACACGGGTTCAATTACAAATGCAGAGTACTCATTTGGCCTTTCTGGTGATAAAAAGGTCCTTTTTTAGAGACTTATTTAAAACTGCCTTGTTAAGTGGGAGTGGGAGGAAGCTGGGGACATTGAGAGGAGTGTGTGCATTTGACTGTTTGAGATAAGGTAACTTTTGGAATGGGCAGTGGTGAGAGAAAAAAAAATTCCTTTAATAATAGCTGAAATAAGTTGGGGATTTCTCTTACAGGGTCTTTCTGTGTATTACAGGAACGCCTTTCACATTAAGAAACAGGCAAGAGATATCTAGCCTCTCAACTAACAATGCTTTTAGCTCTTTACTTTTGTAAAACAGATTTACTTAGAACGTAATTTATAGTGTTTTGTTTCCAGTTTTCTGGAGCATATTCCAGCAGTATTCTATTTACTAGAGTATCAACATTCTCTTTACCAAAGACTTTTCAGTTCAGTATAGCTGAATGTTTTATGTTTTAGTGCTATAAAAAACATATGTCACTGAATACATGAAGTCAATACTTCATGAGAATGTCAATAACACTGAGAATAATGTGTGAGCAATTCTCTTCTCTCCCTTTAAAAATAATTATTAATATCAAGTCACAGATGCCCAGGAACCAGAAAAAGGAAACAGAAAACATGAACAGACATCCAATACATAAAGCAAATTCTGACCATTCAGATCTTGCCAAAATCTAGTTTCACCTTATTCTGGAACATTTGCCAAATAAACCAATATATTTATAGGTAGTACAGAATCCACTTTAGCCCAAATAGATTTTCATGTATCAACTTAATGCTACATATTTTGGAATTACAACTGTAAGTCTTGTGTAAATTGAATTTCTCTTTAATGCACAAATTAAAAATATTTGTTTGTACATTTCTGCATATTTATGGAAACCATACACCATTACAATGACCCTAAAATACTCAAATACTGTATATTTGCATTTTTATATTTAGGAATAATAAAACATCTAATAATATGCATAACATTTCACATTTCTTTTTTTAGTTCACATTTGAGTTTGAAAGCATCTTTTAAAAAATAAAGCTTTTTAGGAACATTAAAATTGTGATTGCTTAGGCTACAAGTTACTGATTTTAAAACAGGTGACCCAATAGTTAAACTCACACGTTTTTAGTTGTTATCCCATAACCTTTTAACACACATAAAGATAAACCAAAAGCTGAATCACATGCAATTTTAATAATGCTGCTATCACTCACTGACCTTGTCCAATCACTTTTCTGTATGTCACATGTGGCTTTTTTCATGAGGCCTGTTTGGTTGCTTGTTGTGAAGTGCAGGAGATCTCTGTGTGGTGTGCAAACACTGTGGCTCAGTGAGGAAAGGGAGTGCTGCTTTAAATTCCTATTCAGATGGAGTTAGATTAAGAATTAAGAACAGGTTCTAAGGTTTGGTCCAAGACAATTATAAAACTATGAAACACAGTCACTCTGCCTGCTGAGCCACTGTGAAGGCCTATGACACTGGAATAACATAAAGAATCCAACTTCTCCCTCAGCTGCATCAGTAAAATAGGACCCTAACTGACAGGCCAATGTTTCTCAAGAAGCAAGAAGAATCCAAGAGTTATTCATACTTTTTCTGTGCCTTATGGATTAACACACAAACATAATCAAAATGTCACTTAAACAGCAGAGTACACATTAAAGAATAAGAAAATATTAACAATAACAATTAGTTATAATAACCAATGAAAACTATATGGATTTAGATGTCAGACTCGAGTCATAAAACAAGCCTCTCTTTCAGCATTCCTGCACATTATAAAATATTAATGGTGAATATTGGTCATTGATCTTCTTTTCAAAATAAGCTATAGTATACTGTACATAGCACTTTTGTTGTGACATTACTCAATATTGTGTGCAGAAATCCATGCATCAATAAATCTAACAACATTAGTTTTAATGATAATAAATAGGTTTTCTGAGCATGAGAAATACCCCAAACCCCAGAAAGAAGAAGCTAACCCACCAACAAGCAGATACAGAGGTTCAAAGACTTTTGGAATGAATAACAGGTGGTGGACAGACCAGGCAAAGGTAGTTCAACATCTTGCAGACATAAACAGTATTTATAGTTTCTTTAGGACTGTCTGCTGTCTACAGGACTTTTATACCGATTCTCTTCAGACCTCCTGATCAATGAAAGGGAGGTAATTATTGCCTCTAGAAAGGAGCATACATAAATACATAATAATAACAACAATAAATACATAAATATTCCAGAAAACCTCAAATACAGTACTAGCCATTGACATGAAAGGCCTTTCTGTCTCAGTGTTTTGTCTATGTGCAATTATTATTATTGCTTCTACTATTCATAAGTGCTCGTCACATCAGATGCTAAAAACCCAAAGGGGGCTGGAGACTTCCGTACAATGGCATTCTTGTTTTCCACTCCGGGGATGGTTTTCATGTTTAGACCCCAAAAAAAAAAAAAATCTGCTGCTGGGAATCTGGAACACAGAAGGACAGAAATAGCCTGCGACCCCGCGGGCAGCGAGGGACTGTCACTTCAGTTCTTGTTCCTGCTCCAGTCCAGCACTCGCAAAATACCCAACGCTGCGCCACGAGCTCCAGTCACCGTCGTCAGCACAAACAGAATTCTTATCCCTGGCCCTGAGGGCAATATTCAGCCTGAGAATAGCTCCCGCCATTCTCTGAAAGTACTCAGGAGTATACAGGAATAAAAAGACCACTTTGTGGGTTACATTTTTCCCAAGGAAGCAGCACCTATTTTGGTGGAAACAGAAGACCACATCTTTACTGGGCTATAAAGAGAGATGTGAATCTACTGGTGTGTTAAAGGACCTCCTTTCCCCTGGCACAACTGTTCGCCTATTGGCATCCTTCTTAAAAAAAGAATCTCTTTGTAGCAGATGGAAACATATTCCCTTCTGTGTTTCTATTTTTTTTTTACCTGCCAACAAAACGATAACAAGTGTTGATCTCGTGAAGATGTTTCCCAGGCAAAACATGGTACATGGTAGACATGGTAGGTGAATAACACATCATCCTGGCAAAAATCTACAACATACGCTGGAAAGCAAGCTTCAGCACTGCAGAAAGACACCTATGGGCTTTGCAAGTAGGACACCTCATCGTGCCAATGCTTATGGCTTTACACTCCTCCAAGATACACAATTCAGCTACTCAGCCTTTTTTATGTCAATACATGGGCATCAGTATCTGCATTTTTTCTCCTGTCTTTTCAATTCAATTATATGCATGTAGTCTTAGCAAAGCAGAGCTTAAAAAAAAAAAAACGCCAGAGTAAAAATACAGTCAAGGAGTTTGCAAACCACAGACGCCAGACTGAATTCATACCATTTTCAAGTTCAGTCATTTATGCCCAAGCATGCAATTTACTAGAAGCTAAAAAATCCTAAGTTAAAAGGCAACAAAATGAAATCATGACTAACTAAACAGGGAAATATGGATCAAGGAGAGGCTGCCTAGATAGAAAAAAAATAACACACTGGTGGCGAGAAATTTAGCAAATTGTGAACATAACACTTTTCTGTCCATCTAATGTTTCCTGTTCCTTGTACAATTGTGCCTGCAAGAAAGACTGTAGACAAATGAATGCTAAATCATTCAGATAATGACTTTTTCTC